AGAAATGCTTTTTTAGATTCAAGACGCGGTGGTCAGAACGCGAGTCCGCCATTCAGTGGCAGGGCCAGAGAAAGAAGGAGTGTAAGAAACCTGAATTGGCAGATGGTTAGTTGATAGGACGACGATAGCAGCATCGCCAACTCAGCAAAATGGCTCAGCTTTGTGCGGGGTTGGGAAAACGCCCCGCAGCTTACTATTCACGGTTGCCTTCCATCAAGAATGAGCAAACGGGCTACTGCGTAATTGGCAGTTTCATCACCACCGATTATCCTGACCAAGAATAATAAGCAGTCCATTAACATGTAGGGGCAGCCATGCAGTGTCCGGTCAATACCTTGGTAGGTAGGTGGTACATAGTGCCTGTAGTTTGATCTGCTAGTGTCTATTAAGAGTCTACTACTTCGCCTAAGTCATTGAAATTGGAGCGACCGGAGCTGGAGCCACGGAAAAACCAGATCTATGGTGTCATAGGGCAGATACTGGAGAGGGAAGAAATGGATTCGAAAGTAAGATCCACATTGGGTGATTCTGTTTGGATGAACCCGTGATATTATTACCCCCTTTCACGGCCTTCACCATAAGCTGCCTATCGTCTTTGTTGCTTCTATCCGCGACGAGAGAATTAGAGAGACTCTTTGACCGCTTCTTCATCCTCCTCCTGCTGTTGCCGCCTTGGTACTACCTTGGGTATCAAGGTGTCGTAGTCCAAAAGCGTTTGCCATGAGGAACTCCAAGCATTGCTCTGGGTGGTGCATGGGCGCGCTACCAATGGCCAATCACTTATAGATAGCTTGGGGCGAATGTGCTGAAGAGTTTTGCCCAAAATACTACATGCACCAAGGGCTCGCAAGCATTTATGAGTATGGGGCAGACCGTAAAGAATGAGAAATACTTGATTCGCTTTGTGTCGATTCGTATCCCTGTCAGGTTACATGGAAGCATCATTGATACCTTCCAATCTCTTACCGTGGGATGGAGGACTGGCAGTTTCTGGGCAAATTCATTCATCCCGTGCTGCGTTTCCACTTTCCGGCCCCTTCCCCCTTTCCGCACCGCCCCGACTGGTTTCACTGCCACTCTTTTCCTCAGCCTCAGCTTTGCAAACACGCGTGTAATATTACTACGACGGTACTAGCCGCGTTTCTCCCCCGCGTTGAGATGAAGACAGGGCTGGGATGACTCAATCGAAAATCTCTTGCTGTTTGATTAATTTACCGACAGATTACCGCCCCTCACCCCTCTCACTTGCGCTCGCATTCTTGTACCAACTACGAACCTAGAAATGCGAGTGAACCACTCGCAAGCTCCACAGTAATGTCGAGTAAGGATAAAGCGGCACCAGCAATTATTTTGCACAACTCCCTTATCTTCCTTTTCTCCGTAATTTTGTTTTTCTTTTCCTTTTCTCCCAATTTTACCCACCCTCCCCCTTCCCTGGCGACACTTAAGAGGGAAAGAAACATGATTGCATCTCAAGGGAAATTAAAGGGCACTATGACGAAACGGGACAGGGACAACTGTTGCCAGCAAAAAATAGTATTTAAGTTTTAGGCGGTCTGCACATCCCTAGTCGGAATGCATCAGGTGACAATCCCCCGATTGTCGGAAGAGCCCAATCCTTTTTCACGGTCGTACATGCAACTAGCGTCCTGGGGAAGGGGGCCTTGCTACTGCATGCAGTCTCTACAATAGTCCAGTCGTATTCTTTGGCTTTTTGGAGAAAAGTCGGGCGACAGGGATAAGGCAGGTTGGCATCAAAACCCAGAAACGGGAAACGAAGGGGAGACCCCAGCGGGCGGGAATCCAAGATCCACATATCTCCCCATAGGGACCGCCGTGCCGGTGCCTCAAGAAGGATCTGTAACATCAATAATGGTGATAACACGGTAATAGTGTTTGCGGATCGACAGTCAGGCATGCTTCGGATTCTCCTGCTCCCGCGTAGTGATGGCAGATACGTGGATAACTCCGTACTCCGTACCGAGTATCCGTGTATGCAGGACGGATTATCCGTGGGGAAGCTAACCTTCTTGCCTTGAGAAAGAGCTCGTTACAACTACTGTTAGCTATTGGGGTGAAATTGAGGAGGGGATTGATTGTATCCACCGACCTTCCATAGCAACTGATGTTCTCTGTTCGCCTTCCCCTTTTTCTTCCCTTTTCTGCCTTGTCTAACTATCCATTTCCCCCCAATCCGCCCCCCTCCCGAAAAAGGTGAAACAACATACCTATCAGCTTCTCTGCTCCCCCACGATTGACAGTGATACCATCATCGACAAGGAGATGATCATCCAATAGATCATGTCCGTTCACTGTGCCACTGCCTACTACAGATCTCTAGGAGTAGGATTTACTGTAGGAAGTGGAGCGAACAGCTTCTGGGCATCTTGCCAATTGTGGATGAAGAGCAAAATCCTCGTGATCAAATACTATATGGAGTCCTCCGTAACAAATCTACCGAATTAGATGCTATGCTGCCCAGATAATAAAGGACGTGGATAGATAATGTAGGGAGGTCGAATGTTGGGAGAACCAGAAAGGGAAAGGAAAGCAGAAAAGGGCACTATTGAAATAAGTTAGAAAGAAGAAAGGAAAGGGAAAAAATGGGAAAAGAAAGGTTAGCAGCTACTGTATTTCCCAATGATTCCCTGACTGCCAATCAGCCTTCGTAGAAGGACGGAAGGAAGGACAGAGGGTAGATTGGAGGAGCCTCATAGGATCTCATGATCGCGGCTAGTCTCATAATCGCTTGGGCTGCCGTTGCTATGCTTCCTGGACAGCTCACCCGTTTAACTGACTTTGATCTTGGAGCAGGTGCCCAGCAATGACGGCCCAGTTTGATTAGACTACCTTATTGGCATACCTGAACTAAAGGTTAATAATACTTTCTATCCCTTTCCTGGTCCTTAGCCAACAGTATATAGGACTTGGAATTTCTTCCTTTTGGCTACTTCATTGCTGTTATCACCAAGTAGTACTCCTGGGTCTGCTTGACAGAGAATTCTTTACTTTTCCCTGAAGAAGACATTGCGCAGTTTTCACAGGGGCCTAGACGCATATCAAGAACGCAACAAAAAAAAAACGCCTCTGTTATCATCACTGCCGTCCACCACCATCATCATTATCCTAATCTTATATCATCATTACCTGAGCGTTTTCATTGGTACCAGAGAATTGGTGCCCGCGTTTTTTTCAGACCTTCCTAAGACATTCAGGACTTGGCTTCCCAGATTACTTTTGCGGTGCGGGTCCCGCAGGCAGGCTAGAAGAGGAAGGAAAAAGAACAGTGTTCCCTACTACTCCGTATCCGAATACCGATTACCATCTTTGGGCTTGGTCTGACGTGGGGTGGGAAACGGTTCTAACCTGGTTACATGACGAGGGGCAGACGCGTGGGAGTTTCGTAACCAGAAATTCCCAGTTGACAATACGCAAATACGTACCTTACCAAACCACAGGTACGGAGTACGTCAGTAAGTACCCACTCCAGCTTTCTTTCAATTGAAACATCCATCGGTTTCTTCGAAATCGACTTCCAAAATCCTTCCCTCCGAACTTCTCCCTTGTCTGTCTGTACGACACCGCATTCGCCTGGATGGGAGACTCTTAAGAGGGCGAACACCAAGACTTCCCCCCTCTCCCCAGCATTTTGTTGACACTCTTTACTCCAGACATCTTCGCTCCCTCGACTTCCGCAAGTGGAGATCCCAATTTCTCTCTCGGGCGAAGGATAACGCTGGCACTGTTTCCTCCGTCGCATGATCAACTAACTCTCTTACTCACACATCCTGGCGCCTTTCGCTGCAGGTCCTCTACTACACTCCACGTAACCGTGCAGCAAACTGGAAAAGCTACATATCGGACCACACTAGACAATCGCGACCCTCACGATTACTCTTGTCGGTCCAATCTCCGATTGCTCAAATTATCACCCTTCCCCTTTGGACCACCTGCATCACTGCGTTGGCAGGCAATCCTGCATTTCCTCTCCCGATCCTCGTCGCCGATTTTCCCTTCTTGCGCAGCCTTCCTCTAGTCTCCGGCCGGCGAGTGACGCCAATCGACGCGAAGCCGAATTTCCCTGCTCAATTCCAACAATAATTTTTTTTTTACCTTTACACCCACGCACACACATACACACCTTTTGGCGTCTGTAGAAGCTACGTTCGGAGGGGCTCTGCTGACAGCTAAGCACATGCGCGGCGCACACGGCTATTGACTTGCATTATTTCGCTCACCAATTTCTGTTCCCATTACCTTTCAATACTCGCCTTGGAGCGTCCCTCGGTCCTCCTGCCTCGCACCGGAAAAGAACCTCAACCGCCGGCACCAACCACGGCCAATTGGTTCGAGCTCCACACGTCCTCGCATATTTGCTGCAGAGGGACAGCTTTCCCCGCGTACTAGGAGATCCGCCAACTGAGGAGGGGTAAAATTAGGGCACCAAAATAGGATACAACGCGGGCAAATCAGATCATATCAGGAAAACCTGACGAAAATCAGTTCAGGGAAAAAAAAATAATTGGAGACCAAGGCTGAGGGTGCCAAGTCATTTATCATTTTTTGGCTTTACTTGGGTTGACGACAAGACAAGCGATCAAAGAGCCTTCCCCCCCCACCCGCGCCGTGCCATTGTTACACGAAGCCAGTGTCTGTCTCAATTGTTATCAGGAACCCGGATCCCGTACTCTCGCGAGCGCTCTCCGGCAGGGCTCTCCGCATTGCATCAGAGGCAGGCCAAGATGCAGATATCAAAGACAGAGCAATCCCGCTAAGCAAGTGGCTTTTGCATCGCTCAGCCAGACACGATCCCCTTTTTGGCTCGTATTGCATTCCTGCTATAGGCCACCATATCAGGGTCAACACAGCCGCCTAGTTACTGCACGTCGCTGTTCATTCGTCCCCTGAAGAGTCCAGGTGACTCCAGCTTTGGCACGGTTCACGACAGGTCTACAGTCTCACGTTTTGCAGCCGGGTGCTACGTCTGGCAGGTATCCGCAATGGCTTACGCCGCCGCTTCGTCGCCTTCAACCATAAATGGCGACACCCAAGCAAGTTTAAAAGTCACTGGCTCACTCCCGAAACCTCCAAAACTACATAATGTCAACACATCTGTTCCCCCCGCCCCCAATCCCTCCTCCGCTCCGCCCTGTGCCTCCATATACTCATATACACCTAACTCATTACGTCCTTCGCATACCTTCTCAAATGCTTCGAGCCCTTCAGGCACCCCTCTGCAATCAGCTACTGACGCGCTCCGAGGTCGAATACCCTCATTCCCTCTGATACCCCCAGCCCATCTAGAGCTTGGAGATTCAATGATGGCTGTTCCTGGGAATGCTAGTGCTTCCGGCTCGGGAGACGCGGCAACCCAAACGACAAACAAAGCCCCGGGGTTGATGCGCAGAATCTCTCGAGGGGCAGCTAACAAGCTCACTCGGAGGCGGCAATCCGCGACGCAGAATGATAAGCGGGACCGTAGCTCCGGTCCCGTTATCATGCGCAGACGAAGCGACAGCAAGACTGGACAAAATAGCTGGGAAAGTGCGCTTGAGTCCAGTAATGAAGAAGACAGCAACGATGCTCTGGATTCTCTTGGGGTCTGGTGTGGCTCCGAGGCTTCTAGCTTGCAGAATGAGAGTTTCATTCCTCCTACTCGCATCGTTAGTGCAGTCGCACCGAAGGTTGATGCGATGATTCAGCGTGGCACAGTCCTCACGAAGGTCACCAAGAAACGACGAAAGCAAGTGCGCTTCTTTTTCGACATCGACGCTGGGAAAGTTTACTGGGATCTTTCGAACCCGACGAAACGTTTTTATATAGATGACATCAAGGAGGTCCGAGTGGGTGTCGATGCTCGCAATTATCGCGAGGAACATCAGGTTTCACAGGATCTTGAAAGCAAATGGTTCACCATTGTCATCGCCGATGCAGAACGATTGAAGGGACGGGCTGTCAAGACTCTGCACCTGATTGCGCCTAGTGATCATACCTTTGAACTCTTTACGACAACCCTCGAACACATTTCACGCTATAGAATTGGTCTTATGGCTGGCCTAGCTGGTTCTGGCCAGAGCGAAGCGGTCTTGAAAGCCCACTGGCAGCGTGAGATGTCCAGATTATATCCAAAGGGTTTAAAGCCCGACGAACTCGAGAGCCTGGATTTTGAGGCGGTTGAGAGTGTATGCCGCAGCTTGCACATCAACTGCTCCAAAAATATGCTCCGTGCTCAATTCTCCAAGGCGGACAATAACAACAAGGGCAAATTATTTTTTTCCGAGTTCAGTGACTTTGTTGCTCGTTTGAAGGAGCGGAAAGATGTCAAAGCTATCTTCAAAGAGCGCGCTGTCAGTTTTGAAGGCTTTACTTTGGAAGAATTCCTGGCATTTCTTCGTGATGTGCAGAATGAAGATGTCGAGTCTGACCGAAACTACTGGGTGTCTATCTTTGATCGGCTTGTGCGCAAATCGAGACCCCGTGCACCCAGTCTTCCAGAGCATTCGGACGGAAGGCCTACTGTGGTTCCGCGTCTGGGCCTCGATGCCTTCACCTCGTTTCTATCTTCTTCCTGGAATGGGGTCTACGCCTCCCGCGCCCCCCAGTCCAGGTTTGATCGCCCATTAAACGAATACTTCATCTCCAGCTCTCACAATACGTATCTCCTGGGTCGCCAGGTTGCTGGTGCATCCAGCACTGAGGCATACATCAGCGCTCTGTCCCAAGGGTGTCGTTGTGTGGAAATCGACTGCTGGGACGGAGCTGATGGCCGACCCATTGTCTCTCACGGAAGGACCATGACCACCAGCGTCCTGTTCGCCGATTGCATTACTGTCATCAACCGATACGCATTCATCAGCACAGACTTCCCCCTTATCCTCTCTCTCGAAGTTCACTGCAATCCCGAGCAACAACTAGCCATGGTGAAAATCATGAAGGAGACCTTCAAAGACCAATTAGTCTTGGAGCCACTTCTTACAAACACCTTCGTCCTTCCATCGCCCGAGGAATTGAAGCGTCGCATCCTTGTGAAAGTCAAAACTTGCGATGAAACAGAGGGTGGTATGCGACAAGAATCGTCGGGTTCGTTGATTAGTGTCGGTCGAAAGCGCAGCTCAAGCTCCCCTTTTATGCAACCGACGGTGCCCGAGTACCCTCCAATTTCCAACCTTGTTCCTCTTGCTGGGTCTTCCACGGCTGGCCAGGATAGTGTCGATACTTTCCTTTCCCATGACAGACGATCATTCACGACCACTAGCTTAAGCAGCGCCACGGAAGACAGTGATGGCGCATTGACGTCCATGAAAAGGGAACGGAAACGACGCCAGAAGAGCAAGATCACCAAGCCATTATCGGACTTGGGAGTATATACTCGGGGCTACAAATGGCATAGCTTTACGTCCGCGGAAAGCCAGCGGTATAACCATGTGTATTCGTTCGCAGAGCGTTCCTTCGAGAGTATCTGCCGTGATTCAGATAGCAAAGCGGTCTTCGAGAAGCACAACCGAAAGTATTTGACAAGGGTCTATCCGTCTGGCTTCCGTCTGAGGTCCTCTAACTTCGATCCCCTCAAATTCTGGCGTCGCGGAGTGCAGATGGCCGCTTTGAACTGGCAAACCTACGATGTTGGAATGCAGTTGAACCAAGCCATGTTTGCCGCCGGGACTGATCGCACAGGCTACGTACTCAAGCCCGAATCTCTTCGCACAGTGACTCCTGGCGAAGATAAATGGAAGAGCACGGGGCGGAAACGCGTTAACTTTACTATCGAAGTCATCTCTGCCCAGCAACTACCGCGGCCTCGCAGCCTTGGACCGGACGATAATATCAACCCGTACGTAGAGGTTGAGATATTCAGTGCCGATGATCGAGGCCAGAGTTTTGTCATTGGGGAAGGTGGTCTAAACGCTTCGGCGCGGAGTGGCGTGTCAGGTATTGGCTATCCGCACCGTCGGCGCACAAAAATCGAGCAGAGCAATGGGTATAGCCCCATCTTCAATGATTGCTTCAAGTTTGCGCTGGAAACGAAGTATCCGGACCTCGTGTTTGTCCGCTGGACGGTCTGGAGCTCGCTGGATGGCCGCAGTGCAGGAAACAACAGCAGTCTTCAGTTGGCTACCTTTACTGCCAAACTCACCAGCCTTTCTCAAGGCTACCGCTATCTGCCTTTGTATGATGCAGGCGGCGACCAATATCTCTTCTCAACCCTGTTTTGCAAGATTACCAAGGATGGTATCACTCCCGCCTCCATTGAACGACCCGATACCGAGGAACTCCGTGCTGAGCGATTGGGTATTCTCCGTCAAATCGGTCAAACCGTGTTCAAGCGCTCGTCATCCACTGAACGGGAGAAGGAGGCTTTCTCCGATAAGGGTAGTGAGATCCCGATCAGCTCAGAGGACAACCATTCTCCTACATCCCCGACTTTGACGCCGACAGTGTCAGCGGCATCTACGTCTTCGCTGCCTCCTTAGCACCCATCCAAGGAGACTTAAGCATAGTGTGAAGTCATTTTCACCCCTTCTACTCTTCCCTATACCCTTTGGGTTCATCTACATCTCCTTTCGCTATCACGCTGTGATATTTTGTTTCCATTCATGTGCAAGTATGGGATTTGGCGTTCTGTCAGCTTTGGCTGCATCTTTTGCATTTTCATTTTTATCCTTTCCTGATGTCTTATGGGAGCCTGAGGCGCATCACGGTCGCAAAACGGAAGCCACAGGCGGGCTCACATGGAAAGCATGACCTCACATCTTCGAATTTTACCTTTTGTTATCTATCTGGGGCGACGCATGGACGATTCCGAAGTCCCGAGAAGGCGAGTTCATGGTGTTGTTTACTAGTGTTCTAGCTCTTGTGTGTGTGCGTCTGTATGTCTGTGTTGGCACTGGAGTGCCTTGATTTATCCGCGATACCCTTTTAATTTGGACGTTTTTGTGTTGCTTTTATGCGTTGCATGGCTGTGTGATTATCATTGCAGACCCGTTTTCCATTCTCACTACTGTTTTGCTTGCATGTCCATTTTACTCAGCATCTGTCTCGGGGTTTTTCTTTGGATCCGATGTGTCATTTCAGATATCAATTGTCGTTGCATCGGGGTCGCATACTCAGGGAAGAGGGAGTCACCGAGGAAACGGTTGCATCATTCGGCATCACTGGCGGGGGATCAATGCATTATGAAGCGAGGTTTGAGGCCTCTTGAGGAAGCTGGTTATCATGGTTTGGTCCACTGTCGCTAGAGTATCCGGAAGAGATCCTAGCCCATGACAGGTCTGTTGTTTACATTTTGTACTTCTGTGTGTTAATATGAAATCGCGGCTGGGACGCTTTGCTTCGATTCCGGGCCTTTACCCAAGCTTGGCTTATATCCTTTCCAACTATTCCTTCTCGTAGTTAGTATGCATGAGATTCAGTACCTTTAACAGTAGAGGCGTCATGGCTTCAGGTATAGGTCTCCCACATACTCGGCCAACCTGCCCCAATGTGGGCCACCCGCCTCCCACCGCCCGCGGTAAAGGCAACGTGACGACTTCCGCCTCCGCGGATGGCCATCCCAAGCCTAACTATACTCCCCCAAACCATTCATTACTCTTTAATTCAATCCTCCTCAATTTCTCCTTTTAACCGCCGCAATGGATCCTTTCTCTGCTGAGGGTGGTACGTTTTGTCCATTGAGCGATCACAAATACACAATCTCCCCCCATGACCTCAGGCACTAACTAACGTGCCTCATATTCCCCCCATAACAGAGCTGATCAACATCCACAATGCCTTCCACCAAGGCCAATACCAAGCCGTAATCGAATTCGACACCTCCGCTCTATCCCCCGAGAACCAACTTCCCGCCCGTGTCCTCCAGCTTCGCGCCAAGATCGCCCTAGGCCAAACAGACGAAGTTCTCGCCGATGTCGAAGGCGAGGAAGAGACCCCCGATCTTGCGGCCGTGAAAGCGCTGGCCCAGCAGTCGTCCGGAGATGCTGAATCAGCATTGAAGCTGGCTCAGGACCTCGCAGAGAATTACCCCGACAATGCTACTGTACAGGTTCTGTGCGGCACGTTGCTGCAGGCTCAGGGACAAAGTGAGGATGCGTTGGCTTTGTTGACCAAGCATCAGGGGAACCTCGAGGCGTGAGTTTCGGCCTTCAGCCCCGACATGTGCACTTGTCTGGATGATGATGAGGGATGGAAGTCGGGAAAGCTAATGGACGATAATTTAGTGTGGCCTTGATCGTTCAGATTCATCTTCAGCAGAACCGCTCTGATCTCGCCTTGAAGGAGGTTCAGGCTGCGAAGCGCTGGGCGCAGGATTCCCTTCTGGTCAACTTGGCTGAGTCGTGGGTTGGAATGAGAGTTGTATGTGGTTTACCCGGATGCAGCGCATGCTGCTGTTTGCTCTGCTTTATGCTGTTCGAGGTTGAGCGATGAAAACTAATTTGCTTTGTGTGTCGACTTCTAGGGCGGCGAGAAATACCAGGCCGCATTCTACGTCTACGAGGAATTGGCTTCCGCTCCTAGCACCTCCGCGCCCCTTTCTATCGTCGGTCAAGCCGTGGCTGAACTCCATCTCGGTCGGTTGCCTGAGGCTGAGGCTGCCTTGACTGCGGCTTTGCAGCAGTACCCCGACGAGGCGGAATTGATCGCCAACTCTGTTGTGTTGAATGTCTTGGCTGGCAAGCCTTCGGAGGAGTTGGAGCAGTAAGTTCATTCCCTATACCCCTCGTAATTGATCCTTGGACAAATGTGTAGCTAACTCATGCGTTGCACTTACTATAGGCGCCTTGAACAGATCAACCCCACGCATCCCCTGCTCTCCGATCTTCAAGCAAAGAGTGAATTGTTCGATACCGCGGCTGCGAAATATGCTCCCAGAGTGTCGGCTTGATCTAGGATATCCGTTGCTTACTTGTGTGCTACTTGCATTGCTTTTGTTTCTTGATCTCCATTTTGTACTCCCTCTTCTTGCTCCCTGGGCGTGATATTGTTTCCGATTATGAATTGATACGACGGCGTAGCTATGTGTAATCTAGTTATTGTCCAGCGAATGCTTCCTTCCTTATCCTACTTTACCTGTCTAGTCTGTACTTGCCCTTTTCCCGTGTATTGTCATATAAGTGGGTAACTAGATTTACTGGCTGATAATTCTTATTACGTGTATATCATGTGGTGCTATGTCGCCTATTCTAGCCAGTGATTACACACATGTTACCTGAAACACCACAGGGAAAGCGACCAAAAGCAAGAGAAGGGGACTGGCCAGCAATGGGACACTTCAATCCCTATCGTACAAGTAATAGTGTATCACCTACCTACCAGACAACTGACACTACTAATCGATCTTATAGTCGAGCACCTAGCCAATTAACGATCGCCTGAGTCTGCTGAGTATCGTAGCCAACTACATCGGCAGCATAGACAGCCGAGTCATGGGTTTCATCCTGTCCCACAACGTAAACAGTATTGGGTACGACTTTCTGTTTATAGCGATCAAGTATCAGCTGTGCACTATAACTTGGAATAGGGAAGGAATTGAAGCAGGAACTGCGACAGGTGCAAACGGAACGTGAAAACAGCCAATAAGGGAACGAGAACTGATGAACGAACCTTGAACCTCTCCACAAACTCATCAATAGAAGAGAGCAGAATCTCATCTCTTCCAGCGGTCATCAAGACATCTTTTGCTTGTATTCCCTCCCACCAATCCATGGGGGCTCTAGCTGGTTCACTCCAGGGATCGCCCTCTTTACCCGAAAGGTACTGATCAGACCAACGGTCGAGGATCTCTTTAGAGAGGGCATCCTTGTATGCGTTTTCCTGGACACTAGGGCCGTCCAACTTATAACTAACCCACGGCGCGCAGCCAATTACACCAGCCAAGGGCTGGGAGATCATTAGAGGCTCGATCTCTGGGTGTGGATGGGTGAGGTGCAAGAGCACAGCGAAAGAGAGGTTCCCACCAGCGGAATCACCACCCAAGAAGATGTCAGCTGGGGAACGACCTGTCTCGGTGAGGATGTAACGGAGAGCCTCGACCGATTGACGGAGTTGTACCGGATAAACGGCGTGCGGCGTAGTAGTGTAGGTGAGGAAGAAGATAGCAAGGTTGTCATGGCCAGCTTCGTTCAGGCGGTCGAGCATATGTGCTAGTAGCTGGTAATGTTGTGGGCGACCAAAGAGAAAGAATCCGCCTCCTAGGTAGCTGGGTTAGTATGGGTACAATTGGAGAATAATTGTGGATTCAGGAGAGAAAACAGAAGACGCCAATCACTCACCGTGGTAATAGACGAGGACATTTTTGGCGTTTTTGTTGCCAATCCAGTGGCCTTTGGCGCCGTGATTAAGAGGCACAGTCTGCGGCTGGAGGCCTCGGCTGGCCATGAACTGTCTGTATGCTTCCTCGGTGGGAATATCCCGGAGCCTAAGATGACAGTTAGCAGGCAGTGCCCGGTCGTAGGGAGGACTAAAACGCACTGCAATTGTCTCGGGGTGAAGGTGACACAAAGTTTGCGCGTCACGGCATTGAGCACATGGACGTTGTACTGCTTGGCGCCATTCTTGCCTCGAAAGGCAGCTGTAACGGAGACAGAAAGGAAGGTCTTAATGACAATCAGACTGTTCCATGCCTCCTGCACCTTTTGCCAGATAGTCAGAGGTTGGTTCCAGGACGACATGGTGCGAGAAGGTGGTATGGGAGGGGAGAGGATGTGGAGAGGACTTGAAGGTTGAAGTATTGAGGGTCGATTCCCCCGCTTTCTAGGTTGTCCGGCTGAAAGTGGTAGACAAACCTAGCATATTCGGCAATTGATTGACTGTCCAGAGCAAGGGGCAGGTGGAGTGCATATGCACTGATAGGTAGAATGGAACAGCTCTTCCACTGCTTCAGCCAGCCCCCCGCAGCTGAAGAGATGACCTCGGCTCGGAACTACTAATCCACAAATTATGTTATATTTCCCCCATAATGCATTATGGCTTAGATATAGATACATTCTAGTTTCCGTTCACCATATCCTCCTTGCCCGTCAGATCACAGAATGCCTTGTATGTGGTGAACACATTCTCCTCTCCACTGCCCGTACTCTCGACGATACACTCGGCGTTGGCTCCCACAAAGAAGACATAGCCTTCCTTCACTTCCTCAGTCTTGTGGCCAACCGTAATCTTCCCAGTTCCACCTGTGCATATCAGGATGCTTGGGCCCACCAGTGCGTCGAAGGTTGCTTTGGCCCCAGTCCTCTTTAGATCCGTCTTGACAACACTAAATTCTTCAATCGGAGGGTCATAGAGAACAGACGATGAGCCACTAGAGTAGGCGGAGGCATTGAGAACGGCATATGGGTAATCGGTCGGCTCCAGCTTTTGCTCCTCAATTGGCGCATAGGAGTATGTCAGCATTTCGGTGAGTGTATCAACATCCTTGAACTTGGGAGTGAAGCCCGCCCGCACAACGTTGTCAGACGACGCCATGCATTCAATAATATCTCCAGAGATGTATGCATGGATGTCGTCAGCCTTCAAGAACATGGCTTCGCCTGGTGCCAGCTTAACAAAATTCAGGAAGAAGAATACGAATAGCCCAATGTCGTTAGGGAATTGCCCGTTAAGCCGAGCGATGATGGCAGCCAATTCGGCAGGGTTGCTCGGATTCGTCTCTGGGGTGCTGGTAGAAGTAGCAAATGTATCAGGAGAATCCTGAGCCGCGGAGATCAGCTTTTGGGTGGCTGCCTCAATGCTTTCCGGTGATGAGTTCATTAGCGATGTGAATAAGGAACGTAGCGCGTCCTTGTTCTTCGCCATCTGGGCAAAATCTTGCGAGTCTTCGGAGCCCTTGACAACACTCTCGAATTGATTCGCTGCTTGCGTGCCGACAAGCTCGCGGAGAGGAGCGACTGCGTTAAGGAAGTGAACGATTTCGGCCAGTGGTCGGAAGCCGCACAGTCCTTCAAACGGGGTGATCGCAATCGTCATTTCGGGTTTGTGATTATCATCTATGTAATGGTGATTAGAGTTGCTTGCGATTGTCGTCAGAGATAATTATAGGGATTACCTGGATAGTTTCGGGCGTCCCGGGCATGAAGCTTTTCGGCCAGTTTCTTATTCGGATGGGCTTGGATACTGAGAGCCTTTTGAATAGAAAGGACCTTGAAAAGGAAAGGCAGTTTTCCTCCATATCGCTCGCTCACTTCCTGGGAGATCAATGCCTGGTTATCTTGGACCATATCGAGGAGTGTTCGCTGGGTTTCGACATCTTTGGAGGGAAGGGAAGGATGGGTGCCCATCCACAACTATACGTCACCGGGTCAGTTTACCGCCATGAGAACATGGAAAGTTGGGGGAGCGGACCTCTGCGTAGGGCTTCTCTGCTTCTATGGAGAAATCGGAGCCTGCAGTGATGGCAGCATACTTTGCGGCAGCCGACTCATGGCCAATCTTGCCTAGACCAGCTTCAGCAAACGCAGCGGGCGGAACAATCCAGGATGCGGGGATGTCCTACCCCAGTCATAGCTGTTGACACCTGTGGATAAAGAAAATAGACTATCAGTGAGACTATTCTCTCTTCTCTCGGGTAGAAAGCTCGATAGGATGAATACTCACCACACTGAAGACGGAGCAATGGTACCTGCATTGTGCTGAGGGAACTAATACGATAAGTATTGTATTGGTGTGAAGGGGAAGGAGGAGGATAGACAGAAGAAGGAAAGAGCGAACGAACTAGTGAGTGAATGGCGGGGGGGAAAGAGGAACAACGGCAGTTACCAATTGGAATACTACTATTCAGTAAATCCACTCGCTAACTTGAACTTTCTCTCTATCACAACAGAGCAGAAAAGAAAAGAAAGTCAAAATTCAGACACAACACTGGGGGTTTTGAATTCCTTATGAGCGACCGAAATAATTCTTGCTTCCGTTCCCCCAGAAGATGTCTTAGAGGGTGAGCCCCTCCATCCCGCCCAACTCGTTTATCGACCATTAAATTAATCTTCCGTTCAATATTACTACTCCATTCCCGATTGGGTGTTCCGCATCCGTTACGTGAACCGGAATGGGATCTGCCAATCAAAGAGTCCCATGGGGCGCAAAGCGCTTACCGACTAGCCGCGAAGGGAAGCTCTCCGCCCAAGGAACAGCTTCGCAGTCGGATGCTCAGCATGACGGGGTCCCTGAAGCTCAGGTTCCCGTGTCTCCTCCGTCCCAATCAGTCGGGCCCAACAGGTTTTCCACCCCGGACAATCCGTTTTCTGCAAAGCCTCAGAGTGTCTCTCCTGTTCGTCCCCACAACCTCAGACAAGGTGCTGCCCGTGGTACTCGAAGCTCTGCCCGGCAGGATATCCTTTCCGCCTTCGAATGGGAGGCTCTAGCTATCGAGAAATCGAGAGACTCCGCCCCCGTTGCAACCTCGGCTAAAACTAGGAATAGCCAACTAAGGGCTACTACGACTGCTGCTGCTGCTGCTGCTGCTGCTACAGCTAGGGACCAGAGCTCACCTTCCAAGAAACCCAAGAAAATGTCCCGGAATCGGCCTAGAGGTCCTCCAGTCCCCAGGGACAACGGACTGGCGGCCAATGAAGAGACTGACATGTGGAACAAGATCCTCCAGGACCTTCGCAAAGCGAAGGAGAAGAATGACAAGCAGAAGACGCTGGCAGATCAGATCGCCGCCTTGAACGAGAAGATCGGTAAAGAGGGTGGAAGTAAGTCTTATATAAATCTTCCTTTCTAATCCGCCCTACCCACATACTGCATGCCCTGCAAAGAATGGATCATGGCCCGATTCGCTCAATGTGCTATGAAACTGGGGCTTTTCTTGCTTAATATCGTTCTACACTTTGCACGAGGCCTTCTAACTATCATGTCCTGACTGTCAGGCTAATACTCCTAGCGGTTGGCCTTATCTTGCTTTTTGCCATCATGTCCTCGTTTTGCCTTGTCTGTTTTATAGCTTTTACTTGCTGTGGAGATCATGAATGCTGACCGCCGAAACAGAACCTTCTCTCAGCGAGCATGATCAGCTCGATAGTTTCTATCGACAAATGTCAAAGCTGTGCGACGATGAGAGAGCCATTCTGCAGGATGAGCCTAGCGATGTTATCAAGAACTTGGGTCTCCTGACCGCACTTCGACAGGCCTCCGAAGCGGAGGCCCCTCAAAATCGCGCTGCTACGTTTTCCAAGTCGCGGAAGAAGCGCAATGAACTGGATGGGTCAGCAACTGACTCGCCTGGGCCCTCCACTACGGCCTTGCCAGATAAGGCCGGTCGCACGAAAGGCGGCGTTCAGCGTAGTACCAGTGTTTCCAGCACTCAGGTCCGTGACAGCCGCGACATCCGCGACAGCGGTGTGTATGTTAAAGTAGAAGAAGGCACCGAGGGTACCAAGGGTACCCTTGCAGAGCGCAGCGGACACCTGGTGGTTGGGGCGGAGGTTGTCTTCAAACACAACAAGAACAAACAAGGGGTCGAAGGCGAGGGCATTCAGTGCATTATCAAGGGGATCTCTGGGGATGGAGTGAAAAAACGGTACGGCGTGACGCCCCAGTCCACTTCCACAGGATCATTGACCGATGTATCTTTCAAGGTATGACGTGCAGGACCCGGAGCCAAACGAGAACGGTGAACAGGGAGCTGTTTACAAAACCACTGCCGCATCTCTGATCCCCATTCCCCAGATGGGATCAGCCTTGCCATCATTCCCTGTAGGGAAGCAAGTTTTGGCGAGATATCCAGACACGACCACGTTCTATCGTGCGGAAGTCATGGGTTCCAAGAAGGATGTCTACCGTCTCAAGTTTGAGGGCGAAGAAGATGATAAAGAGATGGAGGTAGATCGACGCTTTGTACTTGATATACCTGGGAAGTAGAACCAGTCTTGGGATGTCAATGTTACACTACGAGAGATCTACGGAGCGATGCCTTCCCCTCAAGTGACAGCGCCAGTAAGAGTATGAAACTGCCCCCAAGTGGGCAGGCGAACAAGACAGGGGCAAGGCACAAAAAACGGAGTGAAAAGAAAGGATTGACAGGGAAACAGGGGCAAAACGAAGAAGAGATTTGCACCATGGTCGGTTGCACTATATTTTGATACCCATTCATTGAGCTGGAATGTTTCAATTTGGCGGGTGAGGCGGGATTTACGGAGTTCGGTTTGCTTTGATGAGTGGGATGATCGCCACAAATTGGCTGGTTATGTTGGAGAGGTATAGTAATAGTTACCTAGTTATCGTGTGTCATTTACTTTAAATTCCTTGCATAGATGGGGGTTTCAACCTACTTGCTACTGTCATTGTTCGTCGTATTATTCCTATATTCACCTAGTATCCATTAGGTACGTACTTAGTTCTGACAGAACTAACCAACTAGATAACCGGTCCAGAAGCTTCCTCTGCAGTAAGAATTACATAAGGCGTGTCAGGCCTGACAAATGGGTGGGTGAGTCAGCGAGTACCCCCACCGCCGAAGCCGCAGTTGATCCCGAGGGTCCGAAACCACATGCGGCGCCGAAACAGAGCAAGTGCGGGATAACTGGCCCATGGTCATCCCACGGCAATGGTGATACTTTACAACTACTTCCTATGATAATGTCCTCCTTTTTCGCCGTCTCACTGTTATAATTTCTTGTCCACAACCTATTGTCAGGGTCGTCCGCAACTTCTTCGCCATACAATCTTCTCCTTCTTTACCCATCCATCTATCTGCGCGTTGTTATCCGCGGCCATCATGTCGAACCTACCTTCCCACGCCTCCCCAACCTTTGTGGCGCAAGATGCGCCCTCCCACCCTGTGGAAGAACTCTCCATTAGCACAGATCAAACAGCAATTCTGCCCTCAGATAGCAGAGTAGACGAGCTTCGTGACAATGCTATCGTCCAGTCCGACAGCGCAGATAGCGATCGGGGTGATGTAACCCCCGCCGTGCCTGCCTCCCTCCTCTCCCCTTCCTTTACCCCTCCAGCTACCCCCGGTGGTACATTCAATCCAGCAAAACTGCTTCAACAGACTCAACAGTTACCACACACTAAAGCTCCGAAACTTCTTCCTTGCCTTCCCGAAGTCGAATGCATCGTTCGCGCACGGATTCCCACCACCACCGGCGCGGAGATGTTTCTCCATCTCTATCACAACAACTTGGACAACAAAGAGCACTTGGCAATTGTGTTTGGAAACACTATTCGAAGTCGGAGCCTGGACAAGGTCCGGCCAGGGGAAACGGAAATGGATCGTATGATACGTGGAGCTTATGTGGGCACATTGCATCCCGGTCGGGTGAGCAGTTGGTATGATGATGGAAACGCTGAGGGTGCAGCTGGTGACGGTGGACCTGTATCATCAGAAAGGTCAACTGCGACAGAGAGTTCACCTAGTCAAGCGCCACTTGTGAGGATACACTCCGAATGCTATACCGGAGAGACCGCCTGGTCTGCGCGCTGCGATTGTGGTGAACAACTAGACGAAGCAGCCAGGTTGATGTCCTTCCCCATGGAGACTCTAAGTGAAATGGCTTCCCAGCAAGCTGTTCCGGTGCCTTCCAATGCCTCTGGTGGGGTGATTGTTTACCTGCGGCAAGAGGGTCGCGGAATAGGACTGGGGGAGAAGCTCAAGGCCTACAACTTGCAGGATCTTGGCTCCGACACTGTAGAGGCTAACCTTCTCTTGCGACACCCTGCTGACGCGAGAAGCTACGGTCTGGCTACGGCGATCCTAGTCGACCTTGGGTTGGGTGTGGATGCCAATCCCCACGGCATCCGACTTCTTACGAATAACCCGGACAAGGTTCGCGCCATTGAGGGTGCAAATCGTGAGGTGGCGGTTAAGGAGCGTGTGCCAATGATACCTTTGGCATGGAGGTCGGGGGGAAAGCAGGGCATCAAAAGTCTAGAAGTAGAGGGCTATCTCAGGACAAAGGTAAGTTTTGCTTGTTTCACCATGTCACTCTTCAACTGGTTTTTCCGAGACTGGTGGTTGTTGCTTTTTTTTTTTTCTTTTTTTTTTCCTTTGCTCTGCCTCGGTTATGGTACTTTTGTTATGTTGCTCCGGCCAGGTATGCTAACTTTCTTGGGTCCAAATAGATCGCGAAAATGGGACACATGATTGAATAAACTCGCTAGAGTCATTTCACGTATTTTCTTTTTCTTTTCTATTTTACTTTTCTTTTTGGTTGCATTCCCTCACTTGTCTGTTTCACCCACTATATAGCCGTTTGTCGAATGGGTGTATTATATGAGGCCTCGGGTTGGGTCTCGGTAATGCTGTACAGTTATGAACTGATTTTATGATCCAAGAGCTTATCATTGTCCCTCGGTACACCTGTACCTCTGTTATTTGTTGCCGAATTTCTATTTTGGACGGAGTGATATCTGTCTGCGTTCTTTTTTCACCAATCTGGTGCACTGGTCTGGTTACTGTGGTTAGGCATCACCAGGGATTGTGGATACCGGGACAAGCTTTTGACTTTGATACCATCTGAATGACGCCAAAAGTGAAAGGATAAACCAATTGAGAATGAGCTGTCATGAGATCGTGTGCCGATAACCCGAGACAATTGCTCCGTAGCTTTTGGATCCACCGATTCAGCGATTTATGGCGAAGGGAGTTAGTATCTAGTGCTATAGCTCTAGGATCCAGAACCCTTGGCGAGGGACTTTTTTGCTGTCTCTTTCGGGGTGCGCGGGACAGAAAGCGGAGCAACGCCACAACTATGGAAGTTTAGAGCACCGCAAAAGACTAAGACGCTCCGGCTCGGCCGTGGCCTGGCATTTCTGCAAGAATCTTGTCTCTTGTCTGCTTGTGCCGTCAGGGTAGAAAAAAAAAGGCAAAACGTGGTGCCGATTATTGACTTTGGGGCAACTCCACCGCAGCCAACCAGACTGACTGTTCCTCCTCCGACCAGAGGAACTTAGAAGTTGCTGAAGGCTGCCTTTCCCCAATGATCATTTCCCTATTTTTCTCCTCTTGCCCCCCCTCAAATGACTCGCCGGTCCTGGTGCCAGTCCTTACTCGACCGGATCGGCTGCTCCTTTTATTTTTATCTCTCCTGTCTTTCCTTCTCGATGCCACCCTGACCATCCTTCAGTGAACCCCAGATCCCCTGAATTGTGTCTGGGATCCTGATCCGCTTTGCTTGTGCTCGTTACCCGTCGTGTTGCATGGCCGCTGCGTTCCTGTAGTAGCCTGCGAGTGAGGCCATGGCCACCCGCCTTCCTCCTCTAACCGATGTCGCTGCTTCAGCGAATCCGGAATCCTCCTCAATTCCCTCCGCCTCTTTCTCCTCGTCTGCTGTGGCTGCTGCTGTTACACCCTCGACAGTTCAAGGCCCATCCACCGCCGCCCCGGTCGCCACTCCCGGGTCCGATGTGGTAAAACTGGAGGACTCCCCCACACCGTCCGCATTGACCTCCGCGGACGCAGAAACACCCGCACCGGATAACAATGGAACACCGGCAACAGGCGCAGGTCGCAAACGCAAGCTTAACTGTACCTCAGCGCGTGGTGTAGCGAATCTCACCCCTGAGCAGTTGGCGAAGAAGCGCGCGAACGACCGGCAGGCCCAGCGCGCCATTCGCGAAAGGACGAAAGCTCATATCGATTCTCTGGAACAACGAGTCCGAGATCTTTCGTCGCAGAAGCCCTTCTTGGATCTTCAGGCGGCTTTGAGGCAAAATGAAGTCATCCAAGCGGAGAATCGGGAGATCCGACATGGATTGAAAGCGATCATGGATATAATTCAGCCTTTGTTGGGGCAACAAGAGAAGCCGAGTATGTTCCCATAACAACTACGTAGTCTGTCGGGGAAACAGTTGTATTAACAGTTTATTCTTCCAGATACTTTGACCGCGACGCCTTCGTCAACTAACAATCGAATCCCCCCAATAACATCGACGCCTCCGTTGTCCGATGCCTTCCGTTTCTCAGCCAATACCCAGAGGTCAGCCCCTGGCGAGCACCCATTTGCAGAGTCTGCTACGAATCCCGAGGCATCTTCCACCACCGCACATGCAGCCTTTGCGTCCGGTACGGGACGCCGTGAGATAACAGCGACAGGCCCCGCTTCTTTCCGCATTGCGTTCGACTACCAACGACACAATTTGGCTCACGGTCTGGACTTTGGCGGGACTGATGAACGAATGGGCTTTAACTTCCTGCTTGACGCATCGCAGCAGGTGCCCAAAGTGGAGGGCTTTCGACGCTCATCAGAGACACTGAGGCCATCGTCGAATCCATCGCCAACCTACCCATCCGGTGTTCATCCTTCTATGGCGGAACAGCCACTGCCTGCCTACCTGACCCCGATTCGAAACGTCGCTCCGACATGCACGCTGGACGCCATTCTGTTGGATTTTCTTCATAATCGACAGCACCAAGCAGCGAAGGGGGTTTCAAAGCAGAGCCTAGTCGGACCTTCTTACCCCAGCGTCTCCTCCCTCCTCAACCCAGAGAAAAGCGTTTACTCGCATCCCTTGTCGAAAGTGTTCACCGACATCTTGCGGACCTTCCCCGATATCTCAACCCTCCCAGAACAAGTGGCTGTGCTGTTTCTTATGTTCCTCCTCATGCGGTGGCAGATTTATCCGACCCCTGAAAATTATGACCGGTTGCCCGAGTGGCTCACTCCTCGCCCATCGCAGCTTCTCACGGCCCATCCAGCTTGGATTGACTATCTGCCATGGCCGCGAATGCGAGATCGCCTGGTGATGTCGTATCAGGATTACCCCTTCGAGAATTGGTTTATTCCCTTCACACGTACGCTATCTGTGAACTGGCCCTATGAAGCGACGGATTGCCTTTTGTCTTCCGGTGACGGTGACGAGCTTATGGTCAATCCCGTCTTTGAAAGACACTTCCGCAATCTCAGTAACTGGTCGCTGGGGCCCGCTTTTGCAGAAGCTTATCCTTCCTTGGTCGAAACCACAAGGATCAAAGCTTCACACTAATGCAGACGGGTGTCAGCCATCGCTTGCCATTGATCAAGATAGATGGTGCATCTTCATGACTTAGACGTTGGGCATGACAAGCTGTTTTCGACTTTGGAGTTTATTTACTTCTCCTCTTCAGTCACCTCTCGCTGTACTTGGTCCCCCAGTGGTGCTGGCTAACGGTGGTCAGTTCCGTTGGCCGAGACAGCATACAAAAGTTAAGCTGAAGTTTAGGACGGCACACGGTGGTCTCCTCCCCCTGACACATCCGTCTCGTACGGTACCACCTAAATCGTGTCGCCCATGACCTACGCTGGCCGACATTTGACAACTAGTCCGAGATTTGCTCAAGTTGTCAGGCTGTCAGGCAAAAGTCAACCAATCCTATTCTACTGGCCTTGCATGCTTTTGAAAATAGAGCGGTCCTGCGAGAACATTTGCATCACGGGAACAATTCGAAAAAGGTGAATATCCCGGGCGGCCCTTAAGCTCCGAAACTACCTTAATGGAGGGCTGTATGGAAGGGTTTCAAACTCCCCGCCACGTAGTCGCATGTCACAGACTGCCTGCAGGTGGACAGTCCGACAGTAGGTATCTGTCTGGAAGGGCTTTCATATCCCTGACCATTTGAATGCCTGATGAAGATCTTCGGTTATATCAATTATTATATAGGACAATGTACCTACTGGTTTCGCCCATCTAGAAAGAGATCAACATGAGTAGTCACATATATCTAGTCTAATCTATTGAGAGTTTCCCTGACGACTCTTTTCGTTCCAAAACTCCAGGCCTGCCTTCTGCCGCAGATAGCCGTACATGGAGCTGCTGTCCAAGCATTCGCCCGCATACTCCCTGGCAGCCTCCATGTTATCAAGAGAAACCTGCAACCCCGGCAATTCCACGTTATGCTCCTTCGCCATGGAAAACGCGTGCCTTGCATCTTTAATGGCCAGAGACACCCCGAATCCGGGGCGAGAGTCCAAGGGCGGTGCATAGGCACCAGTCGTCAACCTACCAGTGTCAGCCATGATGTACCATAAAGATGGATAGTCAACATCCAACATAATTGGCACGCTCACCTTTTAGAATACCCCCCAGCCACACCTCCAAACGCCTCTCCGATAAGATCCTCCATGGGCCCTGTACCTAAGCCCGTCTTCTCCGCAAAGACCTGCGCTTCACCAACAGCCTCCATCAAGTTTACTGTGACGATGTTTCTGACAACAAAAATGCACCCGTTAGCAAGAATGCGCATCCCCCATATCCAATACAAGTTGGAGGTGGTAGATTCAACATACCCCGCAATCTTCAAAAGCGAAGACTTCATAGCATCCTCTCCGCAATCAATCACCTTTCTCCCCATCACGTCCTGGATGAACGGCTTTACCACCTCTGCCGCCTGTTTGGGCCCTCCGATGGCGAAGACCAGCTTCCCATCCACAGCGATGGGGTTGCCCCCGAAAACAGGAGCCGATAGGAATTTCGCGTCCTTCTCCTTCAGCTTCGAGACTGCTGTGCCCACAGTCTCTGGGAGAACGGTTGAGCAGTCAACAAAGATCTTGTCTTTGAGGGAGTGGCCGGAGTTGATAGCTGTGGTGACCAATTCTTGCAGAACAGAGTCATTGGACACCTGTCTCTTGTTTAGTATTGATGTCCTTTTAGGCCCTGATGATGCTGTTGCGCATCTTCCAGGAGAGAGATCACGTACCATGGTGAAGATAATCCCACATTGCGAGACAAGCTTCGAGAAGTTGTCTGCGGGTGTACCGCCTAATTTCTTGAGGGGCTCACCTCGGGAGATGGTTCGGTTGGAGTATATGAGACCCGGGCCTGTCCTGCGGGCCAGGTGCCTTTGGAGATTGCTGGCCATGGCGAGGCCCATGGAGCCGAGGCCAAACTGATTGGCATTGGGGTTAGTTTTTCAGCCAATAGACCCTCCCTCTTTCATTGATAATAACGTACCCAACCGATTTGCGTCATGGTGTATGTTGAACTGGAGTAATCGAGTGTGTCTAAGATGCCAGACGGGATTGAGCGGGTGTTTTGGGGACTATATATACGTCGGTGGTTGTAAATAGACTTCGTTGATACTATCGGGCGGGCCCGATGCCGGGGAGCTTGCTACGGTCGTTAAGTTACAGCACTAAGATCGACTACTGCTGTTTATGGAAGTACTAGAGGGTTCCTTGATTGTTGTATATTTTGATGTCAGTGGTTACTTCGAATGGTTAATGAGTGGGTAGCATTCAATTGATTTGTTTAGAGCTTTCTCGCGAGATCCATGTGTGTAGGTTTACTAGTTGGTTATGAGACAGACCTGTCTGTTAAAACGATACCAGTCGTAAGGCTACAAGGCCATCAGGCATAAAGGCATAAAGGCATGCAGGCATGCAGGCATCCAAAGAGACAAGCACACCGCCTCAGGCCGACCACACGAGACGGTCACGGACCCACTCAGAACCAAAGACAGGCCAGACTGACGATTAGTAGTACTCCGTAGACTTACTCTCCGTACTAACTAACTGACTGCTGCTTCCCAACCCCGTCCAGCCTACCGCTCTCTGGACGTCATCTCCCATGCTCCTTTTGTTTTTACCCCTCCGGAATTGATCAATCTTGCTACGTCTTAACAATCTACATCCTTCACCATGGCTGATATGCCCATTGGTATGTTTATGCGTCTTCCCCCTCCTCTTCCTGCCCTTCCCTTCCCTCTTACCCCCCTCCCCCAAGTTCTCCTTGTCGGTGCCTGTCCCTCCCGTGCTTCCCAGCTAACCAACCACGCCTCCCCCAGTGCTCGACGGAGGAACTGGTTTCCTCAAGGTCGGATATGCTGCGCAGGTCTGTCACTATCTCTATTCCATTGCCTACTCTTACTTACCTCTCCTTTTCCGCCCATGAACAGAACTTCCCCGAGCACCAGTTCCCCTCGATAGTGGGGCGGCCCATATTGCGAACGGAGGAGCAGGCCGGCGACATTGTCGTCAAGGATATCATGTGCGGAGATGAAGCTGCTGCTGCCAGATCTATGCTGCAAATCACCTACCCTGTACGTCATTTTATTCGCGTGCCTTCGTTCTACCCCCGATCGCTCCGTTGTCTCCCCGGAGGTGTGGCAGACGTGTTAACGTTGGACCCGACTTGGTATACAGATGGAGAATGGTATCGTGAAGAGATGGGATGACATGCAACACCTATGGAACTACACCTTTTACGAGAAGATGAAGATCGATCCTACGGGCCGCAAGATTCTCTTGACCGAACCCCCCATGAATCCCCTGAAGAACCGGGAGCAAATGGCTGAGGTTATGCTGGAAGGCTACAACTTTGGAGGTGTATACGTTGCTATTCAAGCTGTGCTTGCACTATACGCCCAGGGTAAGTCTTGCACGCTCTATGTTCTGAGGCACTCTTAGACCACAGCTCTGATCGCCCGCTCTTTCGCATCCCGCAGGTCTCAGCAGTGGTGTGGTCGTTGACTCCGGTGACGGTGTCACCCACATTATCCCCGTCTACGAATCTACAGTCCTTAACCACCACATTCGCCGACTTGATGTCGCCGGTCGTGATGTCACCCGTAACCTCATCGCCCTCTTGCTCCGTCGCGGTTATGCTTTGAACCGTACCGCCGACTTCGAGACCGTGCGCCAGATCAAGGAGAAGCTCTGCTACGTGTCCTACGATCTCGAGTTGGACAAGAAGCTCTCCGAAGACACCACCGTTCTTGTCGAGTCCTACACCCTCCCTGATGGTCGCGTCATCCGCGTCGGCAGCGAGCGCTTCGAAGCCCCCGAATGTCTCTTCCAGCCGCACCTGGTGGATGTCGACCAACCCGGTATCGCCGAATTGCTCTTCAACACCATCCAGGGCGCCGATGTCGACGTGCGCTCCAGTCTCTACAAGGCTATCGTGCTCAGTGGAGGAAGCAGCATGTACCCCGGTCTGCCTTCCCGGTTGGAGAAGGAGCTCAAGCAATTGTGGCTCACACGGGTCCTGCAAGGCAACCCGGAGAGGTTGAACGTACGTATTCTCACTCGCTAGGGGACAGCTCTCTACCAAAAGAATTCACAAGCTAATTTCATAATCTAGAAATTCAAGGTGCGCATCGAGGACCCGCCACGACGAAGACACATGGTCTTCCTGGGAGGTGCCGTCCTCGCCAACCTGGTAAGCCTCCTTATTCTTCCTATTTCCCCCCTATATACCTATTCGTCTGTTCACGAGACACACCATCACTAACACAATCACCAGATCGCCGACAAGGAGGATATGTGGGTTACCAAGCAAGAGTGGCAGGAACAGGGTGCACGTGCCCTGGCCAAGCTCGGCCCTAGATAGTTGTCTCTTTCATTCAGTACATACGTTGTATATTTCATTTCAACCTTACCTACCGACTACCTATTATTACTAACCATCTATCGGGGATTCCATTTTCCCGCGCTGTGAACTGAACAAAATCGCCTCCATCTTACGCCTTCCCCGAGCAGCCCTTTTCCCCCACCCCTCCTTCCTCATGTTCTATTTTCATAGCTCCGTCATTTGTTCCATACTACGTACATACAATTACATTTTTTCTGGCGTATCGGGGAGATTGAGTTAAGTAAGGTCCGGCTTGGTGTCATGTCACGTCATCTAGTATGTGAACGAATGACCGAATTGAGCTGGCTTGTATGTCTATCTTTTCCTCATTACGATCGGTCAATTCCTTCTTGGTAAATAATACAATATAGCTAACTTAAGCTCATTACTTCGACATACTAGCACGGATTGGGGACTTTTATGATTCAATAGTACAACTAAAGCCGAAAACCGTTCCTCCCAAGTCTATATCGTTCTATATACTATAGAAACAAAGTGTGAAAAGTACTCCTGATAAATGCATATACACAGATGAAGGCAACCGATATGAGATGATAAAGCCATAGATCGATCCGCGCGACCAATGGAAAACAACACAGGACTCCACCAGCGGGTAGGAAGGGTATATAGATCCCGTCTAATAAAGCGATGTCTATTCATCGAGGTCGGACTCGGACTGGTCATTTGCCATGCTCTTCTTGCGCTCTTCGTTCATTTCTCGGTATGTGCTCCAACTTAGCAGGAAGAAGGCACCAATGATAAGGATACCGCCGATGATAGCCGCGGCGGAGGGGGGCTGGCCGGTTCGGAGCCAGTCGGCGATGGCGACGAGGAAGATGGTAAGCAGCGCTGCTACAGATGAAAGAACGGGGGAAGTGAGCGAGATGAGAACCAGGAAGGAGCCGGAGAATGCTAATTTAAGGAACACTTTGTTAGCACGTACACTCGACGTCATAGGTCAGAGGAAATTAGGACAGTAAGACTTACTCGCATTAGCAAGGACAGAGATCATAAGCATCCATGCAGCTTCACCAGTAGGCCAGCGGAAAGTTTCCAGGCCCAGGATATGGAGAATGGGCAGTGGAATCCAGAGAACAAGAAGGGTGAAGCACCCAATGAGACTGCCAAAAGTGTTGGCAAAGATCATGCTCCGGCCGGGACTCGTGCCCTCTGGAGGGCAAGCATATCTCTTGTAGAGCACCTCATACAACCCATAAAGCACACTGCCAACTCCGATAATGATGTTACCGAAGAGTCTGTTTTCTGCCTCATCATGCGCCTTGCCGACCGTACCATCTGCAGTCTTCTTACTTTCGTCCCTATCTCCATACGCGACGACCAGAACGCCGACAATCGCTACCACGACGGCAAACACTTTGTCAAAGCGAAGCTTGTCGTTGAGTAGGGGTATGGAGAACGCATAGGCGAAGAAGGCGGAGCAGTTGTAGATCGCGGTCAAGTCACTGGCCGTTGTCATGTTGACCGCGACATACCAAGAGCCACCGGCTATGGTGAGGGCGGTGGTGACAAACGCGGTCGTTTTGAGCATGTATCGAACCGGTGATCGTTGGGAGTCGCGAGAAGTGAGGTGTAGATCTTGAGCTTCCACCATCTTGGCTGTCGTCCGAAGGAGATAGACATGGCGTCGCCAGAACGCTGTCCATGAGAGTTTACGCTGCTGCAATCGGAGGATGAGGAGTTGTGCCGGCCAAAGTAGGGACCAGGAACCGTGTGTAAGATAGCTATAGGTTAATGTCAGGTCAGAAGTTAGCGTCCCCTTGCACTTAACAAACTATGCGACTGGTGCATCACTTACAGCATGCAGTATGGTTTATCCCAGTGCAGCTCATGCTGAATATATACCGCGGTCTCCGTCTGCACCACGAAACTAGCCAGACTCAACAACAGGAATCCCGATGCGATCATGTACTTGCGCCGAGTCTCCTGCTCCGCGTTGCGCTCCGGGCTCACACCCCTGATTGTAGGCCGCCGCGAATGGTGTAGCATGGGCCTGCCCTCTGCCTCCCCATGGCCCAGGCTGGCGTTTGACAGTCGCCCTCTGTGGTCATCCTTGAGCAAAGGCTGGTTTGCTCGAGTGTCGGCTGGGCGATGCATAGATGGGCGATTCAAGGGCATTTCATCATCCGAATCGTGAGTGTCGAGAACCAGCTCGGGGTCCCTAACCTCCCTCGGACCCGAAGATTGCGCACTGTCAGAAGCCACCTTGTCTTAATCTTCCGTTCAAACCCTTCAAGCGGGAAACAATAGAGGAAATGCAGAAATCAAAAAGAAAAGGAAAATGCGTATGAACCTTTTTTCTTGGGGGCTGACACCCTACAGTTAATAAAGAATGGACTTCGCGCGTTGACAGAAGGAGGATGCACGAGACCGGTGGTTTACCGCGGGTCGCAAGTTAATCAGACAGACAGGAAGGACAGTGAGAATATTGCAGTATAGAAAAGACTGTTCATGTGGGTATTGCGCATAAAAAGCAGAAAGAATCCAGGTCAGTTGCCCCCGGGAAAAGACCAGCTGACGAGGGCATGCAACACGGTATATAATGGGCGGCTCCGGGGCGAAGCACCGCCGCTGCGGCCACGTTTGCCAAGTACGTCAGGATTAGGGGGTGTCAAGGAAACTGTAGCCAAGACTTGGCCGCAGTGAGGAGTAACAAAAAATAAATGGTGAAAAGGGGAAAGAAGAGGTAGATCAAAAATGTTATGAGATCGAAGCACAGCAGTGCAAAATTGAAATGAGAGGGAGAGGGAGGAGGAAGGAGATATGGCTGATGCGGTTACATTGCAATTGCAAGCAGTTGGGAGGGACTCGCAGACAATTGATACGGCCCGGGGTTGGTTACTTTACTTACTCCGTATTAGATGCGACTCTCGCATCTGACTGGCCCACCGGGACCCCGTTCCATCCCACATCGGGAAAGCGCGTATTGTCTCACGTGACTCAGCGGGGGACCTCCATGGGTGCCTTCCGCATTGGGACATGCCGTGCCTTTTATTCAGAAATTCAACCTTAAAAAGTAAGTGTCATCGTCTTCTTATTTATAGCAACATTGTTTCATACATGCATCAATCACTACACTATCATCAATCCAAGTCCTACTACATCTACAGCCTCACCTTCAAAACATAGCACCGTATCCCAGAAGGCGTCTTAACCCTCCCCTCCTAGTGTGCGAACCGGAAATCTAACCGCTGATTTCCCTCATCTCTTGTGGTTGCAACATAGTCGACTCGTTGATCCTCAGTCATCGCGTTCCACTTCCGGTCCCGTTGTCGGTTCCGTAGCATATAGTACGCTTTGGTCGCCAAGTAGATAGCCATGTTGACACACACAATAGACAAGAGTACTCGGTTTCCGACCACATAACGTGGTGCATCCCCTACAGGTCAAATTGCGAATTTATCCTTGATCAGCCTAGGGATACAGCAATGCAGGCTGAGGGGTGGGAAAGACACTTACAATCCCGATATATGTTCGAAGCTATGATGGCAGATAGTTGTACAAACATGTTGTATATCGCAGCCGCAATAGCCCGAGTTCGCACGCTGTTCGAATTGCGGGATACCCATCCAGCTTGGAGAGCATGAGCTATTCGACTTCACATCAGTATTCTTCACCCAAATAAACTCGGCTTCCTCAACTGCAATCTGCCTACCGTTAGGGAACCCGAGGAAGAGCGTAAGAACGCTCCATACGATCCACTTGTTGGCTTCGCTCAGGTTCACCACATTCATGTAAATGAGGAACGGCAAGCACCAAAGCTGCGCCACAACTCCCATCCAGGCAAGTGAACCGAATATCTCTCCTGCATAAGTGAGGAGAATTCTTGTTATGATTCCGATGACCTGGAAGTCAGTCAGAACTGTCATACCGTGGGCCATTCGTTGCCCTCGTTCTACTTACACTGCAAGGGAGGGATAGTAAGATGGTGTTGAAGGTGCTGAACCCATAATCCTTCAACTGCAATGTAAAATACTGCGAAACGGTAGCTACTCACGGGACTTAGTCAATGGCTCCCCTGGATTCATAAAACGGGGTGTACTGACTATAGGGTGCCGAGAACAGCATTCCGACAATGTATAACGGCCACATATCAAAGTCTTTGATACTCATCCATACAAGCTTGGCTGTTAGTGGTTGGCGATTATGCATTGAGCCTTTACTCGGGTCTTCTCGTAAGAGGCGATTGACCATGATGGTCTCCTCCCTGCTCATATTCTCATATCAGCATCCTGGTACTTCCCCGTTTGACATCTATCTTGGCTCACTTTGCTGTAAACCAGCCCTTCTTCCCACGGGCCCAGTGAGCTGTTTGTGTCGCTGAAGGTGGCAGTAGAACAATAGCAAGAAGGCCTAACGCCAGGGTGAGGAGGCCCTGTTCCGCTTGAGCTAAACGCAACATCAAAGGCAGAGATGTATACATACCTCAATCAAGAAGAGCCATCGCCAACCAGCTTGCCCACCATGACCGCCCAGGTGGAGGATTCCATACGCAAGTATTCCTGCCAGCATATCGGCCAAAGAGGATGCTGCATACCAGTATCCAAGACGTATCGATAGCTCATGGTGCTTGTAAAAGTACGAAAGATAAAGGATGACCTGCTCGAATTTAGAGGGGCATAATGGGGCAGAGAACAGTAAAGCCACTTACAGTGGGCGTGAAGCCTCCTGAAACCAATCCTATCAAAGCTCGGCAGACCAGGAAGGACTCTCTGTTGGATAGCCAGAATTGGCAGCTAGCAACAATCGACCACGCAATCATCTGTATAGGAATCCACCTGTCGCAGCCAATTCTCTTGCTGATGATCTGGGTGGGTATTTCACTGAACATGAAGCACAGTCTGTACAATGTGTTCCCCAAATTGTAATCTGTGTATTGTATAAGGTATGAACTATCATCCCGGCATTTCAAGCTCAATGGAAGTTACTGACCATCACGACTTAGGCGGATATCGGTCAGGAAATTATCGGCATTGGCTTGCTCTGATATTGTCAGTGCATCAGGTGGTATCTATATGTATAATCACCCACGAATATTAGACTTATCGAGCTCCAGGGCAGTTATCATAATGCAGGCCCATATAATGATACGGAGGTCCAGCTTTCTGACAATTTTCTAGATGTAACTAAGATTAGAACTTTCACCTCACAGTGAGACTCGCATACATACATTTTCTTCAGCCCAGGTCCATCTTGCTGCCGGATCGAAGCGATGAATGCCTTCCCAATCGGGACGTGGTTTGTATTCCTCAACAAGGTCAGGGTCATCATACACCGACGGTTGTGTTGCAATGGCATTAGGATCAGGGGTCTGAGATCGCCGGAACCAAATCCGTTTCTTCTTGTGGGAGCCACTGAGTACTTCATCTGTGGAAGCGGCGGTAGACTCCTGCGTCACACTTATCACTGTCTTCTTCTCGATGTCTGACGTTGGATAGCCACTTGCTTCCTCATCTGGGTGATTCTTGACCGTAAACGAGCGAGCAATGACAAGAGACATATTGTATCGCTAGAGCAAAATCGCCCACCTAATTCCTTTTGCGCCATTTTAATCGACGAAGCCGGTAAGCCCGTTTATATATTCTCGTCATTTCCTCTATATTTAGACCATCCTTGACTTGCGCAACACGCAAGGAGATAGCCAGAGCAACAACCACACCTCTATGCTCACATGGCCCGTACAATCGTTGCATCCTCAAGGTTGGGATCTAGATCACAGCATGAGCGCAACCTGCCAATTTACAAGGGTCTAGATGAGCACAACCCGAGATCCAAGGACAATCAGGTCTGCAAACCCCTTGAAACAGCTCCTGGTATCTAGTCGATATCGCTGGTGCATGGACGCTATTGGTGTCAGGCGGCTATCTACCATAGATGCATGGCAGTAAGGTTTCATTGCAGTGTTCACTTAGTTCTGCACGATTCTGTCGGATCAAGCGTGGATTACAGAATCGTGAAATTTACCTTGTCTTCAAATACCTCAAGGTCTGCCAAGACTGAGTCCGGTTCTCTATGTCCTAAACGCTCCGATGTGTCACCAGCGGAGATAAGCTCTCAATTCGCTTCGAGCTATACTTTCCGTGGTAGCACAGTGAAGGGATATGTGCACTTGTAAGGAGGAGTCGGAGATAAGACTTTGAGTGAGGTTCTAGGCGCAATGGTAATAGAATGTGGCACAATAGCTGTCAGGCGCCTACCCCAGATTAGCTTAGACGATGGCATAGGTGAAGTACCATGCAAGGGTACAGCACACATCCTATAGAGTCCATTCTTGACTGTGTATGATGCGAGGATCATCCCTGGGCAGCTGATAATTAGCGCCATCCAGGCTCCGCAATATGAGCCCGACAGACTGCAGACATCGGACAATACCTGGATGCTTGCAGACGAAAGGATCTGGTTCCAAGAGTAGGTAACAGGAGGAAGCGGGAAAGAAGGGGAATGTTTGTGGGTGCTTACATGTGCGGCACGGTCACCTGCTTGGAGATATGCAGAACATGCAGGAGGATCTCGATCTAGACCCACCGATCTTCGAGTCCCTCCAACCTCTGCATTACTACATGGCCTGGACCGGTGAGCTTCTGCATACCCTATTCTACTTCTATCTTACAGGGGCTAGTTGCTGAAACACGTGCTAGGGATTTTCCATCGCGAAGCGAGTTGGAACTGCTGTCATGAATATTCATTCCTATTGTCGCATTCTCCCATTTTGCCAGATACCCTGGTATGCACTCAAGCCTTGGCACTAGGCTTGAACAACGCCTCGGCACTAGGCTTGAACAACGCCTCTTTGGTATTGTATGTATATTTGAGCTGGAGGTGCCAATAGTCGGGAGCCGAAGCCTTTGCAACCAACCAGGCCTTGTCCAGAGCCTCAACCACTTCATCGGGTAGCGGGCCTTTCTGGATATCCTTGAGATTGCTTTCCAGTTGAGAAAGGCTACTCACTCCAACTAGAATTCCATCACGGCCATTATCGTTGATATTCAACGCAGAGTGATGACGGATCCACCGAAATGCAGTCTCGGGCAATGTCAATCCATGCTTTTCCACGACAGGCTCGATAATCCTTAGAGCGTCAAAGGTAGCATCCTTGAAATACCGACTGCGGTACAATGATCCACTATGGGCCTTGTCACTGTACCTACCTTCTTCTGGCACATCTTGGGTCTTATACTTGCCCGAGAGGAGCCCACCAGCAAGGGGGTTGTAAATTACAATGTCAATGCCGTAGCGCTTGCAAGCGTGGATTAGCTCGGTCTCTATGCTGCGTGCTATAGCGAAACGAATCAGAAACAATTTTCCGGGCCATACGAGAAGTTAGCGTGTACGCAAGGGAGACTCACTGATGGCATTGTACATGGCCTGGTAAATTGTTGGCCGGACCCAGCCTCGTTCGTTGCAGATGGTCACAATCTCCGCAACCTCGAAGGCAGTGTAGTTACTCAGACCGAGTTCTACGAATTTGCCTTCCTTGTGCAATTCATTGACAGCTTCCAAGGTTTCCGCGAAGGGAACCGACCTGTCGGGTGCATGCAGATAAAAGATGTCAACACCATCTGTTCCCAGTTGCTTCAAAGATGTTTCGAGTGTTTCTCGCAAGACATTAGGCTTGTGAGTGCCCGGGACTTTCGGATACACCTTCGTTGCCAGAGTCAGACCACGTTCCTTCCATTTGGCTTGAGCAGTGAACGCTTCTTGTTCTCCTCCAACATAAATTCTTGCCGTGTCGACCTCATTGAAACCTTGCTGTTGAAAATAGTCCAGGCATTTGTTGAAATCCTCAAGGGAGGTAATCCGAGCACCCTCAGCTTCATTAGGGCCAAAGGTCATCAAGCCGAGGATAACCCGAGGAGTGGGGTTCTGTGCGAGGAGCGGCATAATGAAGTCGAAGAAGACGATGCTGGCAACGATTGAGCCGGGATGGCCGATTGATGTTAGGAAGGGTCAGATGTAAGCGTACCTCGGTCAGAGGGATCCGGAAAATCTTAGGTAGACTGTTCCAAGGGACAGCGGAGTTTGGATGGTGCCAGGAAGGTTCAGGCCTGAAGAAGAGGGGGGATAAAGACCTGGCCGGTGGGAGGGGTTCAAATAGATAAGAATTCCGGCTCCCCACACTTCTGGTCGCACGCAACTCCGGCCGTCCCATGGCACCGAACCAATATCTATCTGCTGAGGCGTCGATGACGAGCTTGGATTAATATTACCCGGTTACACATGAGGTGGTTTCCCTCCACAGACCGAGTAAGCTGAGAGTTATATATCCCGGCCGTCAGCGTGGTGACATGCTGAGTGGTAAATGAGATGCCCAGACTCAGTAGTAGCTTCCCCGCAGGCCGGTGGCAGTAGCCCAACCAACGAACCCGTTATCGGCAGCTTCCTTGTCAACTCAACTCTCAACATTTTCTCTACTCCTGTCCAGCACTTCATAACACTCTTTTGTTAATAAGTTTATACATCCATATCATTCACGATGACTGTGCCAACGAAAACTCAATATTCCATTCTTGTCATCAACCCCAACACTTCAACGCACATGACCAATGCTTTGATACCCATACTGGATAATCTCGGGCATGGAGGCATACAATTCGACTACTTCACAGCTCCAGCATCCGAATCAGTCACGCTCCCCGATGGAAGAGTGGTAGAAGGAGTGCCCAGTATTGACTCTGGTGAAGATTCTGTCAAGTCAGCCTTTTATTGCATGCCCTTCCTAGAGCAACTGGTGTCCGAGTATGATGGCTTCATTGTCGCCTGCTTCTCAGCTCATCCCCTCGTTGGTATGCTCAAAGAAAAAGTCAGATCCATCGAAGACGCAGAGTCATCGGGAGTTCCCTCGGAACTGAAGGTCAAGAGAAAGTACGTGACGGGTATCTTTGAAGCGGCAGTTCTTGCTGCTCTCGGCGTGATTAGTTCATTTCAAGCCACTCCGGGCCCAGATTTCAGCAAGGCCCAATCTCGAGATACGTTCGGCATAATTTCGACCGGTAAAGTCTGGGAGACTGAACTCAGCAAAGCGGTCGCTGACATGCTCGGCAACTCGGGAGATTCCACATCCACTGGTCGGTTTGCCGGGGTTGAAACAACTGGACTGACGGCCGTCGAACTACACACCACCCCTCCCCAAGAAGTGAGAAGGAGACTGGTCGAAGCGACAGAACGGCTTTTGAAGAAGGCAGCCCATCCTGTTGGTGCGATATGCATGGGCTGTGCCGGCATGGTGGGCATGGAAGACGCAATAAGAGAGGGATGTGTCAGAGCATACGGACGACAAAAAGGCAGTCAAGTCAGAATAGTCGACGGCGTTATTGCTGGAGCGGGGATGCTTGCAACGGCTTGCAAAGCCGGTTTCTAGGGGCCTGTCTGCAGTCAGTACACCATCTCTCATGTTTGAGACGTTGTAAAACTGTGCGAGACTATGTATTATGATGAGCTGCGGTCAATGCACCAACTACCAAGAACGAGCTGCAGCTGCCTGTATTATTATTAAGAGAGAGAGAGAGTCTATTATGTCACTTTAGCTAGTAGCCTTGATGCCAATAGTTTCTTTGAAACCCAGTGTTATGTGTCACTAAATCATCTATTTTCATCCCGTAGCCCAAGCAGTACAATAGATCTGAATGAGACGTAAAACTTCGCTATCTCAATTCGCAGCAAATCAGGTAGTCCCCACTAATTATTTACCAATGGAAGTGAAGCCCCAATCAAGAAGATCCGCTAGCCCATGTCTTCTTGTTTCTGGTTTACTTTTGGGGCGCGGAAGGTTTCAAGGCAATCGACAAGGGACTGTTTAGGCCTGAGGCCCCCACACACCTAATCGAGACTTGAACTTCCCCGCGGAACGCGCTACGCGTAGACTATAATCCACGATCACTTGCGGTGATCAAGGAACAAGATGCCCAGGTGGGTTCGACTCTCACAGCTTTCCTACAATATGCTTAGAAACATGTGATTGTATTAGCAGCATCTGATCTCCATATTTAGGGAAATCATAACGATCCAAGCCGGCCAGTGCGGTAACAATGGTATGGATCCCCACGAGAAGCAGCTTCCACTATAGCTTTCGACGAACATCGTCTGGCATACTCTGAGACATCGCTAACTTATATCTGCGTTAGTTGGTGCTCAATTCTGGCAGCAGCTCTGTCTTGAGCACGGCATAAGCCAGGATGGAAACCTGGAGGATTTCGCGACCGAGGGCGGCGATCGGAAAGACGTCTTCTTCTATCAGGTATACCTGCCACTCTCATTGTGCTTTGATTACCCAGAGAGCTAATCAAGCATGATCAATAGAGTGATGATACCCGCTATATTCCTCGAGCGATCCTGCTCGATTTAGAACCCAGGGTACGACCCCTTCCGCGAAAGACCATCTCGAAGAAACCAATGTGATCGCGCGAACGGTGAGCTGAGAATTTTCTGATTAGGTCCTCAATGCCATCCAGGCTGGTCCGTACCGAAATATCTACAATCCAGAGAACTTCTTTATCGGACAACAGGGTATTGGCGCAGGAAACAACTGGGGAGCGGGCTATTCCGCAGGCGAGGTCGTGCAAGAAGAGATCTTTGACATGATTGATCGTGAAGCGGATGGCAGTGACTCTTTGGAGGTATGATACCGGTGCTAACATGATACATATATGACGTGCAATCTTGGGTTTGTGATTGAGCTTGTTGCTAATGGTTACTTTGGCAGGGATTCATGTTCCTGCATTCAATTGCAGGTGGTACGGGTTCAGGGCTGGGCAGTTTCATACTCGAACGCATGAATGATCGGTTTCCCAAGAAATTGATACAGACTTACTCTGTCTTTCCCGATACGCAGTCTGCGGACGTCGTGGTCAACCCATACAACAGTTTGCTTGCAATGAGGAGGTTGACGCAGAATGCGGACTCTGTGGTAAGGCACTGTTACTGATGAATTAATGACGGACTTGACTAAATCTGCATTCTAGGTGGTATTGGATAACGGTGCTCTTTCAAGAATTGTCGCGGATAGACTTCACGTACAAGAGCCTTCTTTCCAGCAAACGAACCAGCTTGTAAGTAACTGCCTGCCTGCAAGGCGACTGGCACTCATCATTCCTAGGTTTCTACTGTTATGTCTGCTTCTACGACGACCCTCCGATACCCCGGATATATGCACAATGACCTCGTGGGAATCATCGCTTCCCTCATCCCTACACCGCGCAGCCACTTCCTGATCACCTCATACACCCCATTCACCGGCGACAACATCGAACAGGCCAAGACAGTGCGTAAGACCACTGTTTTGGATGTCATGCGTCGTCTGCTGCAGCCGAAGAACCGCATGGTCTCCATCAACCCCAGCAAGTCCAGCTGCTACATCAGTATCCTCAACATAATCCAGGGAGAAGCAGACCCGACGGATGTGCACAAATCACTCCTTCGTATTCGGGAGCGACGCCTGGCATCCTTCATCCCATGGGGACCAGCGAGCATCCAAGTCGCATTGACCAAGAAGTCACCCTACATGCAGAACACCCACCGCGTCAGCGGTCTGATGCTGGCGAACCATACCTCGGTGGCGACACTGTTCAAACGAATCGTCCAACAATACGACCGTCTGCGGAAGCGAAATGCTTTCTTAGAGCAATACAAGAAGGAGAGCCCCTTCTCGGACGGCCTGGGCGAGTTCGACGAAGCCAGAGCAGTGGTCATGGATCTCGTCGGCGAGTACGAAGCCGCGGAGAAGGAAGATTACCTGGATCCAGATGCAGGAAAGGAGAAGGAGATGGGGGTGTGAGTGCGAGTGTGGTTGTGCTGGCCTAATCTAATGTCCCACTTGCGTTTTTTCCTCATACCTCCTCATTTCTTTTCATTCCCGTCATGACTTACAAGGGTTGACCGGTGTCGAGTGGCAAGGGCGTTCTCTTCTTTTGTGTTGCAACAGAATACCTTCTTCTTCAGATTGCTATGACCTGGGTGCGTTATTAATGAATAAGAAAACTAAATATGCTGAATGGTTTGCACCGCGTAAATGGACATGCCCGTCTTCGGCCCATTGCACAATTGTGTAACAATCCCTATCGGCCAAACCGATGAAACACCCAGACAGCCAGAACAGAACAACGGTCAGATCATTGACCAACAGATCCATGGCCCATGTCCAAAGTAATCTATCCCACTTCGTACCTACCTACATTCGAAGGTGTAACCTCCGACGTAACCAAAATACAATAATCCGAGGCATCCTATCCCATATACATCTTAAATAACAATAATCCTAGAATAGACGAATTCCCAGCCAGCCACTAGTATCTGATTCATCAATCATTTACTATGTAAGCCTCTCAAACAGTTAATTCAACCCAGTCAACAGACAAAGTTCATGTCTCAGTCGGTGAAACCGAGAAACAAAGGAACTGAAGAGAGTTAAAGAAAACAATGGCATTGGGGAAACACAGGAATCTCAAAGAATGTGTACGCCACCATACCTGGTATGATATGATCTAGTCTAGTCTAGTCCAGTCTATGCATGGCTTGATTTCGAATAATGCCCTCCCCTTCTAACATTCTCAGCATGGTTTCACATAAAAGTTGTGTCGGTGGGTGTATGTATGATTTGGCGATAGTGAGGCGTGAGGGGGAGGGGGGAGGAAGTCAGATCCGACTACTAAGAACAAGGCATGGCCGGTTCGTGCCCAAGGTGGAGGGTGTAAGTTAGTAGTACTTAGTAGGTAAGTGTGCCTTATCGCCTCAGGTCTGAGCTGGAGACAGAGTCAGGCACCATTTGTACTTCTGTTACTACTGGTTACACGAGGAAAGGAAGTAATTAATTAGGGGTGTAGAGTAGATAGTAGTGGCTAGTTAAATGGAGCAAAATTCCTACTCATCCTTCTCTTTGGGAGGGTAAAGGAGGAGGGGGGACCTTGTATGCATACAAAAAGCAGATAGATAATAGTACGTACAGAATAGAAAAAGGACTGACCAGTAGGAGAAAATCAAATGCACAAGCGTTATTGTTGGACGATGATCCACTTGGGTACCTATTTACTTTGCCTGTGCTTAGGCAGTCCTAGCTGAGTAACTAACTAACTAACTAGTATGGGGACCGGGGTAGATAATAGTACTAGCTAGATTAGAAAACTAGTAGTAGCATGAAAATAGAATAATCAGTAGTAGAGTAGTACTTCTGTATGTATATGTAAGTAGTAGGTAGGATGGCCCGTTCCCTTTTGCTCTCCCCGCCTATAGGACAATTGCGCTCGAGACATGGAGGACCCGATTTAGTAGGGTTCTTGGATGCGGTTGGTTGGTTGGTTCATTTTATCCCATCGGTCTGTGGTTTTGTGTGTGTCTCGACTGAGCATGCATATGGTGCTTACGTAGCTGCAGGCAATTAAATTACTAGTAGATTGGTCGCAGAGAGAGCGAGAGGGAGCAGGAGGAGGGGTGTGTGGAATCTAGGCACTACTTACAGTAGGCATCTACTATTATTATCATTGTCATTTTGGGTTATTTTGTACTACTCACGTACGTCGACATACTGATGCTGTGCTTTGCTATCTATAATGGATCTGTGCGGAGGGCCACGGCTGTGCTTCCATCTGCACCATGTAGGATATGGCAATTAGCTGCGAAAAACGAACAAAAAGGCCTTCGTTGGGAATAGTGATGACTTATGCACTCCATGGAATCTGCAAACCCAAGGGTAAGTGCATGATGATAATAACACCATCACTACAGAGTACTTACTACTACCGGGGTTACTCCGTAGAATCGGTAAGGGTACCGTTCTGGTTCCCGGGCTCTATATTCAGGACTCGATCGATAGATAAAGTATATTGACGATGGCTTGGAAAATAAAAGACTTCCGGATTTCTACGATGAGATCATCAAAATGTACGAAAGGACCACTTGATTTGTGATGATGATCCAGAAATCCTGATTGTCAAAATAGGAATCAATAAATAAAAGTCATCAGGATGGGTGCTGGCTGCAAGGTATGAGTCCTCACGTGATGAGTTGGAGGAAAGTTTGGTGAGAAGAAGTAAGTAGGTTTTGGATGGGATTCATTTCCAGGTATGGGGAAACCGGGTTGGAACAAGATGGCAAGGTTGGGAATCATAATAATCTTAGAAAATGATCAGGAGGTGTGCACTATACTCCTGTAGTACGACCCTCGGGATGCAGCTTCACTAACGTGCACAGACATCCGTGAAGGGATTTTCTGTTTCCCCCCTCCCTCCTCCCTAGTGTCCTCTATCTCTTTCGTGGTGGTGCCTGGATGGAAGAGAGACACAGAAGGGAGGGAGGGAGGGCCCAGGCTTGCATGCATTGTTGGGCCGGATAGTTTTGGGAAAACCGGGGTGGGAAAGAAGGGGAAGGAAGGGAAGGGTAAGGCAACGTTAAACGGGTCAGTAGACTAGTAAGCGTGGCCGTCCTTTTGGGGTTAGTTTAATAGGAGGGGGAAGAAGGGTGTTAAAGAGTGGAGGAGGGAACTTTTGGCGGCGATATATACGTTGGAACTTGAAAATAGCTCGTGAGGAGCAGAAGCAGCTGATGTGGACATGATTGTCCTCGCTTAGACAGGATTGATCGGCCTGATGATGGTGATGACGAGAAGAAGAAAGGGGGTGTGGTGGTGGTGGTGGTGGTGGTGAAGTAGTAGTGGTGCTGGTACTGGTGTTGGTTTTGTGAAATGAAAAGGGTAAAACGGCCAGTTGATGATGATGCGTTGGTTTGAAGCATGGATGGACACGTAGGAAAACGGGTAAACTGGATCTGGATGTAACTCCTCTTGTATGACCTTTGCTCTGATTTTCTCTATTATTGTTTTTTGTTTTAATTTCTTCTTCTTTTTCTCTTTGCCTTCTCCTATTTTTCTAACTCGTTAAATTAATTATTAAAGTATGGAGGCATTCATTTTTTCTTTTCTTTTCATATTCCTTTTTTTTTTCTTTTTTTCCTTTTACCAAGTCCCCTGGTCCTGTGGAATGTTAAACTTTGCCAGTGACCAGCGAACTTGCCATCTGCTGCTATGTGACTTTAGTAACCAACTACTACTGCTACTACTGCTACTACGGACGACTAACTAATACTACCACTTACTAACTTCGGAGCCTGAATAAGAAAGAAAGAGAAGAAGAACTAACTTTTGCCGGGTACCGAACGGGAACCTCGTGCGCATCCGGCCAACGCAGCAGAACAGGACGAACCGAACTCGATAGCCGTCACCCGAAGGCGTAAATCTGAAAAAAAAAAAATTAAAAAATTAAAAAGAAAGGGAACCAGAATTTGAAGAGTAGGGAAAGAAAGTATGGATGGATGGATGGATGGCTGTGAAAGGAGAGGACAGTAAGTACAGTACTACTAGTAGTAGTTAGTGAGCAGCGAAACCCAAAGAATCCTGGAAAGTTCTGGGTCCACCAGGCCGATTTGCCTCCACCGGGCGTCGTCGTCGTCGTTGCCCGTCGGAGGAATAGTCCCAAGCGTCCGCAGGGCCTTTTTTGGCTTGTTCTTGTTCGCTGGGGCTAAGAATAAGCCCATCCGGCGCCTCTCTCTCTCTACCCTCTCTCTTCTGTAACGCGGTGCGGGTTGCTGCAATGCGCTGATCCAAGCATTGCAGAGCGCCGTTCTTTGACTCAGCAAGTCATCCATGACTCCTTCCCCCCCAATTCCCTCGTCCCCCCATCGGCCTCCATTCCGTATAAATTGACTTTGCGCTGCGCTTTTGCCGCTGCCACCTATTTATTCGTCTTTCCTCCGCCATCCTTTGTTCTCCTTCTCTCCTCCCTTTCTATCTTATGCTTCATCACATCGAGCCCTGACTTCGTCTTCGCTCTGCTCTACTTTCGGTCCTATCTCTATCCGTTGTCCAGCTTAAGCTAAGCTACTTTAACTCCGATCTTCGGTCTCCCTTCCACTATACATAGACCGCCATCCTTATCTGCCTGCCTCCTTATCACGCCTCTCCTCACTCACCTCCTCTTTCTCCTCACCGGACTACTGCTCTCCACGTCACCCTCAACCTCCGACACTCTTCCTGTGCTCTTCATCAGTCCTCTCTTTCCGGACTGCATAACATAAAACTACTACTCTTGCCAGTTGAGCATCTTTCACTGTCACTACCAGTCCTTCTCTGGAAACAACAAGCACCTCATTTCCAGTCCTCCTATCGTCATTGCTGCCCCGGCGGCTACTACTAGCTCACTCTCGACACCGCCTCCCTCAACTCGCTCTCTCGCCACCACTTTCATCATGGCGCCCCGCAAGCCTCGTTGCAACTTCAAGGAGTGCAAGGAAGCCGCTCAACGCATCGTCGGAGACTGCAGCTTCTGCAGTGGTCACTACTGCTCTAAGCATCGCATGCTGGAGGCTCATGCCTGCACGGGTCTCGAGGACTGCAAGAAGGAGTCCCACGCCCGCAATGCCGATAAGCTCAACAGTGAGCGGACTCACGTCATTAAGGGCGTATGAGCTCCTTCTCTCCCTGGAGATCTCACAATAATTCTCCCTACTGTGATCTTCTTCTCCTTCTTCTCCTTTCTTCTTTATTATTCTGCTGCGTCGCAAACTTCATACATATTATTAGCGCGGTGTTCCTACTTCCACACTACACACTTATTGCCGGCATTAGCAAGTACTGCATGGCCAGTAACGCTTTCCGCGACAGTTCGCCACCTGGGTTGGGGAGGGAGTTTTGATGTTGATACTGTTCTGTTTGGCGTTCACCACAGCTCTGGAGTTTCGACGGCTATATTTTATATTTCTTTTCAGTATCTATTTGCTGCATATTTCCTTATCACTTTTTTGCAGTGATCGTGTTCATCTTCCCATGAACTTCCCGCGGGCGGTTATTGGCAACGAACCGATACTAGACAACATCTCCATCTTCCAGTTTCGTGTTGGATAGAATTGATGGGCCTTTTTCCCCGTTTGTGAATGGTTTTTGCTATTTCCATTGGCGTGTCACATAGCCAAGCGGTCATAGGTATATATGCATATTTGTCCACACCTTCCACCATCAATTGAACCCATAGATTCGAAACCCACCTCCCGGAATAGCTTAGTACCATCCATCCTCAGCGCGGTGGCCGGAGATTAGTCGTGTGCCAGCTACCCACGTAGCTGTAAGCTCAGGTAGCTAGCTAACCCGCTGTTCTGACCACTGAGCGTGCAGAACGTAGCAAGCGTCATATGATAGTAGCCCGAACAAACCTCTCCAACCAACTAGCCCCGAACTCCCATAGGTTGAAACCAACCTGACACCTAGAATCCCTGCAACAACTGAGAACAGAGAAAGACCTCGACCCCTCCCCACCCCCCTCCCCCTAGAACCAAAAAGCAAAAGCACCCACCCATTACTACGACTAGTACATGACGAGCCTGAAACAAAGTGATACGATAACCATCGAGCCCGTACCACGGAGGAAAAAGGGCACTTTTTCTTTTTAGCCCGGTCCAATTTTTGGCCTACCACGCACACAGTTAGCCAAGAGAAATTAAATGTAACCACCTAGGAAAGGGGTCAAGTGGGAAAGGAATAGAAAAGGAAACATACATGTCGTGATGTTCACTTAGTCTGCTCAAATACTTGTTTAATTCTTCGACGCGCTCTTTGTGAGTTTTGACCCCTTCTCGTTTCAGGCGCTCTTGCAGCTGTATATGGTTTGTTAGCCTCTCTTGTCTGTTTGTGACATAGACATTTATCGCTTCATTCTCCTTATAATGAGAGGGTTTCGAAGTAGCAGCATGTACATCAACCCCATACATTGAGTAAGAAATATCAATCAAACCAAAGAGAATAAAACCAAAACCCAAAGAGTAATAAAAAGAAATGTAATTAATACATACCCTCTTCCGCCTCATCTCCTCATACTTCCTCTCCGCTTCGGTCTTCCCAGCTCCCGCAGAGCCAGATGCTGAGGAAGGTTCATATTCATCAGTGCGAGGTTCCTCTTCAGCACCACTTGCAGTTGCTGATGTTGTTGTTGTAAGTTGCTGCTCCTGCTGATTCTGCTGCTCACTCTCCTCTCCACTACCTGGGACGGACGATTTCTTGCTGCTGCTGCTCTTCTTCTTTTTCTTCTCTATTCGACCGTTGCTGGTCTTGGAGCCTTTCAGTTTTAGTTTGCCGCCTCCACCGGGGGTGGAGTATTCGCTTGGTGCCATTTCCCCCCTTCTTTCTTGGTAAAGTTTATTATTGTTATTATTGTTCTATGCTTGGGGATAGATGGTGGTGCATGGTTAGGTTGATGGGGAGGTAGTATGGATGATGATGGTGATGATGGGTGGATACTACTGGATGGCGATTTCGGTTGCTGCTTTAAGCGGGTTGGTCAGGTGACTTGTGTGGTTTGTACTATGGCGGGTTGGGGTTATGGTGGATGGGGTGGTGAGAACTACTAGCCTTGATGTATTGTCATTAATACAGGAGAGAAAAATGCCAGAAAGGAGAAGAAATTTGAACTCGTTATGTCTGTTTATGGTTCAACGTGGATGGCTGTTTCATGGCCATGCTGGTGGGCTCTACATATGCGATATTCTATGTCTGGCACCATGCTTGGAAAATTATTAAAAATTCTGTTAACACAGGGGGTGGTTCCAGGATTTGGCATGTTCTGTTTGCTTCATTAATTTAAATATCTGGTATATTTCTTTAATGCCCTGCGATTCTCATGTCGAGTTCGGCACCAATAATCCATTTATCCCACACCGAAACTCCATCGTAATATATGCCCATTAATCGAATGGAATCGGGCGCAGCCCGGATCCGCCTCCTCGCTTTCGCATTTCAGCCCCTGCTGCAATTGTGCTGGGTACCTTGATTCCACAGCAATCCCCAAAGTAATCTGTGTGGTCGGCATGGTTGTGGTCGTGGCCATGCTCGTGGTCGTGCTCATCGTCTTCCATATCATCCGTTATCTCCCTCATCCCGGGAGCTGCCGGCAACAAGCTACCGAACAGAAAGTGCTGCATGATGGGAAGCTTGCCCAAAACCTCCTTGGCGAACATCTTCTTCATGCCACTCTCGATTTTGCTCCAATTCTTGGCTCCTGATATGTCATCCAACATTGGGCTGTGCCACCGTAATCCCTTAACGGTTTTCACGCTATCCACCCATCGGACCTGATCCAGATAGATGTATTTGTCACTTTCCTCCTCGAGAACTGCCATGTTGTGGATTGACAATGGCGTGATGTAGGGATGTGCAACGAGCTGGGAGGCACCGAAGAGGAACGGCAGGAAATGGTAATCATCGAGACCCCACACTCCATGTGATCCAGCGGGTTCCAGGTAGTACGTGGTTTGTATATCACGCATGAGGTTCATGTAGCTCACGTATACATGGAAGACGATCGCAGGGAAGTCCGTGGCGGAGAATAAGTGCACCTGACGTAGACACAGCAACCACATCATGAAGTTCAACTCGTGACCTGAACCGTAGTCTAGTCGGTCGCGCGACCCGAGCGAGTTGATTAGATAGGTCGAAGCTTCTTCTATGAGAGCTTGATCTTGGAACCCGAGTATATCCTTGTGCCACGCCGCACTTTGTGCTGCGACATCGTCAAATAGATCGCGAAAAGCTGGGTTACCGAATCGCGAGCCGCCTTGGTCGAGTGACGGGTGTGTCTCGAGAAGGGATCGGATTTGGAATACTATAGACTGAATTTTGGTGATGATGGGGGAAGGGCTGCCGATCTCCGTGGTTGCCCGCCCCCGCACTGAATCGGAGAGACCGAAGATGAAGGCGAGGATCAAGGTATGGGTTGAGGAGGAGAGAAATAGGTCATGGTCTTGCTTCGATAATATCCGACGCACTGGGCGCGCATACTGATGGGAGGAGAGATCCGGAGGACTGGGGAGAGGCGGGGTGACTGGAGCAGGTTCGCGGGAGGAGGGCGTCTGAGACTTGGATTTACTCGCACGAAGTTCCGAAAGTTTCTTGGAAAGGTCAATCTTCGGTTTCGGTGCCGGACTAGACACGGAAACTTGTGAGGCCATTTTGAGCGATATAATAAGGAGGTCGATGCGATCCAGTCTTCCTAGTGACCTTGCCGCACGACAACTGGCAGAAGATTGTTGCTATCGTTGGACGAGAATGTGATAAGCAGCCGCGGTCATCTGACACCGCCCGCGATGACATAAGATGGATTTGGGCTGTTTGGCAGAAACTGACCGCCTACCAGTAGAGCAGCCATTGCCCCTTTCCCAAGAAGGTATAGCTAGATTGCCACAATGTTAAGGCATACACAAGTGTATTCTGGGTCCTACTATTGTCATGGGGTGGCGACAAAACCTAATGGGGTGAACAATGGCGCTGGAAAGGCTATCCGAGTTCAGAACTGAGTTGAGCCACATCGGATTCATCGGATTCGACTCGGCCTTTGCCGTCATCCGAATCCGTCCGCCGAGCAGCCCACCAAATCTCATCGAGGAGCCTCGGACGGAGGCTTACTCCGCGCCGTGGATCATGATGGCATATGCGGTGCAACGCCCCCGAACCAACTGACATCACATTTGAACACAAAGTTTTCGACTCCACGAACGAGGAAGCAAAGTGGACCGATCGATTTTCAATGTGGCTAAGTCCAGGGCTTCGGTTCGGATTTTCTGGAACATGAGAGCGATATCCGCTGTGAACCATGGATCGGCGCGGCTGAGTTGAGGCACTATTGACTTGAAGGCAAGTACGAGCGAAAGCGTTCAGCCTGGGGAAGGTTTCCGGAAGACAGATCTGATCGGGTGGAGGGCTGAAAGAGGGACAGTCTCGGAGGGTAAACTGAAAACCATAAGTAGGTAGGCATCGACCCTTGCATTGGATATGACTAGTATTGGGGAAAGGGTCTCTATCCCTTATTATTGTATCGTGTACCAGAAGAAGGACACAGCGGTAAGATAGGTTACAGTAAGCAGAATACTGCTTCGAATGTTTGTTGTTTCACTTGGGATTCAAGTCGGTCGCTGCCTTAATACCAACCTGAACCAAGATCGGCCTATTCGTTCCAGAATCATTGCTTCTCAGAGGGATTTAGAAACCAGAGCGATAAGGGACCAGGAATGCATCTCGACTTACAGTAAGTAGTACTTAGCACTCCGTACTCCGTTGTCGCCTGCGCAGATAAGCCCAAAACACGGGACACGGTTGGTTAGACGCACAACATTTCACACCATGATTAGACTCGACTAGCCCAAGGTGCCTGGTCCCTGTTCGGTGACGGTCTATCGGGTCTGAAGGGAAACTCTGTGCCAGTCAGACAGCCATGCTTGGTTTCCGGCTAGGCCGCATGTACGTCGACGATTCGGGCATATCAATCTTTGCCCTTCAGCCAATAGATAGAAGTCTCTGGCTGCACAACATTGATGAGAGATAGTAGATACAAGGTACTAAGTAACCTTGGGCAACGCCACAGACAGCTCGCATGATGTCTTGATGATAGAACTTCTTGTCCATCGTACCGATGAGTCTCGATTGATGAGAAAGTATAAGCCTCCCATGACTCAGTTGTCGTCAGCTCCTCATTCTATTGGCGCTCCGACCAGCTCAGGATCACCGGTCTCTTCCCAGGAGAAGGAATAAATCAGATTGCTGAGAAGGCTACTAGCTATCGAATTATAAAGACCGCGACATGGCGAAGCTGAAACATCCATATTATCGTAGTCGGCGCGGGAAGATGATGGGAGCTGAATTGCGTCTAGGGTATAAGCAATTGGACGGGTCACTCGGCGCTTCTACAATACCTCTTCCGTGGTGACTTTATCCGGGAATCTCAGCGGCGTATCCCGTAGTATGCAATGGGCCGTTCCTGAAATAGAAGGCCACAACCAAGATCGGCCGACGTGGCTGAACTGCATTGAAACTAGAACTGGAACACATGGGCGATACTATCTAGTCCTCACTAACAGTTTCTTGGCAGCCAATGATAGGCGTGACATGTGCCGCCAGACTCAGGTGGCTAGTAGAGATCCTGACAAAAGTATTGGTCTATCACTTATCAGGGGAGGGGAGAGAGGGGAGTACTAAGAGGGGAGGAAAGTGATGTGCCTCACTCTGAGAGGGAAGAATTGGCGCCCGTCTTCCATCTAGTAGTTACGAACTTACGTAGGTGCTCCATGCCTCGTATCGTATCCAGAACCTTTTACAGTAAGCCACCATCATCCCTTATTCTGTCAGTGTATTTATTGTGTGGATGATGTTGGTCAGGATGCTTAACAGCTTCGCAACAACCGAGGATGATGATGCGATCATGGGATGAAGTCGCAGATGATGGAGAGTGATCACCAGGGGGACGGGAGCACAACAACACCAAGTTTGGGGGGAAGGAGATCTATTCTTGGTTGTCTCTGATTTCCATGCGGGATGTTTCAACTTGCATGGCTTTTCCCCTCCTGGATGTCGGGACGTGTCAACCATTGCAGGGATCGCTGGCTGGCTGGCGAAGTTGATTACTTTAGTAAGTAGTTTGTTTGGTATCGATGTACTGTAAGAGAAGGGTGCGAGCGAGTGGGTAGTAGTAAGGAAGTCAGTACTAAGAGTAAGAGTAAGAGTACGAGGTCACTGAAAGTAACTAAGCCTGTAACGGGTTTAGTACTAGGTACGGCTAGTAGACACAAACTCCGTATTTAGTCTTGCTTTTTCGGCGCGACGGGGCAAGGAGTCAACTGGCGCTAATTAAACTAGCTTGAATGCAGTTAGCCCAAAGCGTCTAGTGGGTGGCGGTCGGTCTTTCCCCACCGAGACAAGCGAGATTTCGATGCCCCTGTTCGTGTTGCGGATTGGCCGCCCGTTCAGGTACCGCCAATTTAGTCTACTGGTGCCTGGGGGGTTTTCTCCGGAACTTGACCCAATAATGGTGGTCCCCCATCACATATTGGAGTCATGCTGGTGACAAGTTAATATAGCCCAGAGACACTACCAAGCCATTCACGGGCCATCAATTCAGCATGGAGATGGATCGCTAATATCAGCTTGATTATTATACTCCATAATGGCCAAATTGCCGCCATGCAAGAACCCTGATTGCAACGGACGGCATGAACAGGTGGCAGTGGGAAAGTGGAGACCTCTGGCTCTGGCACTGGCTCTCGCTCTTCTTTCTCCTCCTCCATGTCTGGCTTATGTCTCAAGCTCAACCAGGGATGCGCACCGTATTCGCACTTGGTAGCAATCA